ATCGGTTGTGTGACACACTTTACTGTAGTTTAGAGGCCAGTTCATTGACGTTATTTGATATTCGAGTTCGATAGTTTTTACTATGCTTAGCAATCTCCTGTTTGACTGTATTGATGTTTAGGTCCTCATGAATATATTCGTTGCTCACGTAAGTAGTATGGTATGTTTAACATAGTTCTCAAGGTTTTTCTCTGGAATCTTTCTAGAAACTCGATATTGCTATTACTAGCGGTCCCCCACAGTGGAATACCATATGTCCATATTGGTTTCAGGATGGTTTTATATACTGCAATCTTGCTTTCGTGTGGCAGATGAGATTTCCGACCTATTAGCCAGTACTTTTGTATACAGTTGTTTACGCTTAGTCCAGATATGGTTTCTTCAATTCAATCTTCGATCAAGATGCATACCGAGATAATTAGCAACCTCAGCTTGGGGAATATCTAAAAATAATATATGTAATGTTAATGTTGATTGTTGTTTCACACAGCTCTTCTTCTTAGTTTGAACCCAATATAGCTTGTGGTGACAGCACCTTTTCAATGTCATGTTTGTTTATAAATAAAAGTACACTTGTACAAGGTAACCTGAAAGATTGGAAAATTCTTCATGACACAGCTTGATGCAATTTTTACTACCCGCACCTGTCCGCTATAATAGCTTTAAATTTAAATGGATACATACTCGTACCTTTTTCAATCTGATACGCTAAGCTAAATAAATATTATATTTTTATTCTTGGGGTCAGTTTAATCAATTAAACAAGTTAGTTCACCAGACCATTATATTTTTGTACTGAATAAAATTTGCAATGAATTTTGTTATGATTTTATTAATTTATCCAAAAATGTAGTAACGCTTTTACGTGAAAATGTATTTGTAAAAGACAGATTTAGAATTACTACATAGCCTACGATTCTATTAATCACTGTGCTTTGTTGTGTTTTTTTGAATAGAACTGAACTGTAGCTCTGGTTTAAAACTTATTACTCTGTATTAATTCTATTGGTAAACTTATTATCTATCCTAATAACTAAAATTTCACGAACTTTGCAGAGAAAGGATGCGCAAAATTGCATTTTAAGGTAATCAATGCTGTTCAGTTAATACGCTATTTTATCCAGGATGTCCAAGGAGATAATTGGTTGAAAGCATTTTATTATAATACATCCTACAACACTGCTGGTAATTACTTAAAAGCAGCTTTCAAACAATTAACAAGCGATATATCGTAAACAAAATACAACATCGGCTTGTAGGAAATGTGTTAAATTAATTTAATGTTTGTGGGAATTCTGATATAAACACTTAAAAAAGTAGATTTACTTACCTATTAGGTAATAATAATTTATTTCAATTAGTAAGCATTATTTACTAAAAAGTTTACTAATGTAGCATTCGCTGCCGAACTAGGTTAGGAAAACTGTATTTCAGCATCCGACGCCATTCCCCAAAATTTTAACAATTATAAATCATAGAAGACGTTAATTATTTATTTTTTCTTTTAAAAGAATTATGTTGTTTGTTCCTCTCTCTGTGTTTAGTGGGTATGTACGAGAGTGAGTGTGAGAGGGTGTTAGAACTTATATACTTATAAACACTTTGCTTTAGAAAAGTTAATTTGAAAGAAAATTTCGGACTGGCTCTAGGATCTTGAATATTAATATGTTGTTTTGTTGTATATGGTCGTCAAAATGCGTTTCAGCGTGTACATATTGAAGCAGAATACATGAAATAAAAGTTAGTCTCTGTAAGTTCAGACATTTTTCATAAAATAGTTTGGTAGGGAATCTAAATGGCGTAAAGGTACTGATTGTAAGCACGTTGAGTTATTTCCACACATTTAATAGTAGTAGCAGGTATGCCACCCCAAGTAGTTACGCAATATAGTATCAAAGAGTGACATAACGCTACATAAATTTTCCCGACAAGTTGGGGTTCAAGAATATGTCTAATATTTTTAAACAGAACGATTAATACTTATAAGTTTTATCCCAAAAGCAAATTTGTATTATCAGATTACACTGTATTCAATAGCAGTAATGATTTCAATTTGTATCTGTGAGGAACACAATCACTGCTAAACATTGAAGCCAAGGGAAGAAACATACAATAGGAAGACACGACGAAACTTAACACAATCGAAATACACGAGAACAATACCTTGGCACAGCTCCGTAATCACGAATCACGCTGCTGATAATACAAAATATAGAACATTCATACAGAAGATTCGAAGTCATCGACTGATTTAGGTGAACAGGTTTCGATATATTCGTCGATTGATCGGCAGATCCGTCAAGCGCACAAACGCAGCCTTCCACCAGATCTTGCAGTGAAGAAACGTGCAGTCAACACAGTCAACATTCTTGCGAACATTCACAAAACGGTGTGTATGGTACCCCTAACGGAGTGTTCAGTGTGCCAATGATACAATAACCCCCACTTTAATAAATATGTGTATATCCCTAGAATGTATCTTAAAAAAGTCGTTTACGTAGATGATAGCATGATGATAGATTACTGTCACGTATTTGTAAAATAGTTTGTTACTAATATTAATAATGTGACCTAAGATTGTGAACTGTAGTTTGTGTACCAATATTTATAAATAAGGACTCCTTTATAGATATCAATTATTTCATACTAACCTTACGAGTATTATCAGTTTAAAAATCGCGTTGATATGAAAATTATAGATTTACCCTTAATCATATTAACATTAAACACAACATCGTGTAAATCATATGATTATACAAACTTTACAAAACTTTCATCATTTCACCACAGGAATTCATCAATAAATTGTAATGTCACATAATAGCATAAAAGATTTTGTAAAATACTTTTGTTTATAAGCGAATCATAATTTGAAAATAGTGATTTTATTAAAATCTAATTAATCGTACATTTAACTGGTTCCTAATTTCGGAGTTATATAAACACAAATAAATTATTGCCTACTAATACTTATCATTAATGTTAAATTACTGTGTATATAAGTATTTTATTTACTGATTGTATTACCATTACACAATACAATAAACATTTACGACATGTACAGACTTTTATTTCTATCTCTCCTGCATGTTTTATTCGTTATAGCAACGAATGAGAAATAATATGGAAAACAAACTACGCTAAAAAGTGGTTCCAAGCAAAGTGCGATCAAATGAGTGGAGCAGCGCGTGTGCGTGTCGTTAGTATTGAAGTTTAGTAGTGTGAATTTGAAACCATATTTTAACGACCTTCATTAGAGAGTAATGCCTTCATATCATTTCTTGTTCATTGCTTAATAGATGTTATAAAATCGCAAATGTATTGTTATTTTATAATAATTTAAGATTCAATGAAATTATACTCCTTGCTTTCTTATCCTTAATAGTCTTCGATTAGTATTAAAATTTCTTGTGTAATGTCAAATCCAATGGATATATGTTTTTACTTCAGTGATATAATGTTTGTTATTATTGACTTGTAAAATTCTTGCATTAATTTAGATTATAACCCATTTTTCAAAATTTTCATTGATTTGTCCAAGTTGTTCGTTAAAACTTATTCCATTATTTTTTCTTTAATTTCAGATATGGACTACGGAAGCGGTGGACCTCCACCTCCAGGCATGATGAAAGACAGACACGGTCCACCACCGCCACATCACCCAGTTAGTATTTACTTCGTTAACGGCCTTTTCATGTCACTACTGCTGAGGCACAGGCATTCCCTATTGGCCATGACCTACCGCCCAGTGCGAGTTAAACAGGATTAACTTTAAATTTTTAAAAGAGGTTATAGTGTTTTAGCAATTTCTTTCGCAGCTGGTTTAATTGGTTCAGTAAAATTTAGACCTTATTTGACGACATATATAGTTAAATAGAACCACAAAGTGACAGACTAAGAGTTAACTAAGATTTTCCACTCATTTCAAAATTATCGTTTGTATATCTACTACAATAATTTGGTTATGTGAGAAATTGTCTGTGTAAGTAAATATGCTGTACACCTATCTTCTTTTATACATTCGTGCCAATAACCTTGTTTTCAAATACCGAGTTTTTTTGTTATTTTATGAGCGTAACCTTGTCGACACAAAGATCCAGGTCTCATTTCAATAAAACGTTGGAAACATCATGGATTTGCTTTCATTGAACTGCTCCTTGTGGCAGTAAAGCTTGAATATTATTTCACAATTCTCAATGACAAGCTACTTTAGAATTACGCTTTATATTGCATTGCAGCAAATTAAATCAAGTGGAACTAGTACATTAAAAATAAATCTTTGAAATTATAAAGTTTTTACTATCCAGGTTAATTTGGCGTTCTTAGTTAATAGTTTTTCATAATTACGTAAATTAAGTCAGTTAAAAAAATGTTCAAGGTTAATAAAGCAAATAGTCTAATATTAAATTATTACACTCTGTTTAATTGTGTGTGAACTCTATTATAAATTTGTTTATTATTGTTATGCATAATTCTAATTAAATAACATAAAGATTCCATTAAACAGAAAGTGTTTTCACTGAAAAGAAAATAAATTTGCCAGAAGCACCGGCCTCGCTCAGGCGTAGTCAAATTAAGGGTGCCATTTTAATATTAATTAGTTCATGTTGTGGAAACGTGAACGCGAATGAAAAGAAAATTTCGGACCTTTGTGTTTTGATATAATTGTGATGTTGGCTAAATTAGTCTCGTTTCAAATGTGATTTGATTTGTAAATTATACTGCTATCGAACCGGTAGTCTGAAGATACTTGTGACAAACATTTCCTGCAATTTAGAGGATATCAGTATGATGAAGCTGTCATAACTGACGACCTTAAAAAATCCATTGTAACTCTCTACTAAATCAGATTATGATCGACTCGACTCAAACGGGCCCCACCTGATGTTCGATGGTCACCGTAGCCCATAGACATACAGCAATATTAGTAACACGCGAAAGGCTGCTAGCTTTTTCGTGGAATACTCTTTTTAGGCAGTGTTTCCAAGTGATGTGCGGGGATGCGTAGGCAGAATCGCTTAATTTACCTTGCGTCGGTCAGCATAGCTCTGATGGATAGATGTGGGCGTGGGATGTGTGCTATGAATAAAAGTGAGCGAGAAACCGCTCATCGCAGGTTCGCTGCACATCCCCGTACTGCTCATCTTCTAGGACAAGTCTCGTGGAAATGCAGTTCTAATCCTCGATTGTGGGGGCCACGCTATAGCAAAAGGACCAAGCTATATACTTTGACTATATCAAAAAGGGATGATACGGTTTCAACGCTATTAAATACCCCAGATAAACCAACACAAACAAAATCGTGGCCGAAACCTGTCCAAAAGGTACATTAAACGATACACGGAGCCCCGTAAGTTGATCGCGTAATAAAAAATAAGGCATTATTTGAACATTAAAAGTCACCTTTAATGCATACTGTATAAGGTCTGAATTAAAACGCGTGCGTCAAAGAGGAACGACAGTTCGAAATGCAAGCTCGTAAAATTTTACGACTTATTGCTATATGCGGAAGAGTATAGACCTTATTTCTTTGTCTCTATGCGCAATCCTGAATGCGCTGTTAGCAAATTAACAAACAAAGCATAAGTGCACATGCAGCGCGTTTGCTTCTCAAATTGTGACTAAGGCGAATTGCGTGCGTGCCCTAATTTAAGCAGCGCGTGCCGTATCTTCCCTTTTTGTTTTAATCTAAGTACCTATATATAGCAGATTGAAAACGATGTAATACGTAAGAATATATATCTCACTGTATCTGTCGCAGCGGGACGGGCGCGGCTACGGGCCGGAGGGGTACGGGGGCGAGGGGTTCGTCCCGCCGCCGCCCATGCACCACCCGATGCCGCCACAGAACCAGGTAAAACATCCTCCTACCCAACGAATTAGAAATAATATAGAAGCATTACTCTCAAACAAAGACCGCTAAAACATGGTTCCAAACTCGTACAGTAAAACTTCAATACTAACACGACACGCACACAGACAAAACATGTCAAAGAAATACTGTGACAAATCAAATATGTGCAGATCAATTTGGCTAGTCCCGGAAATCCCAACCAATCGCATGATCGTTACGCTGGTCGCAGTTAGATCTCCCCGCCCACTTGATTGTAGTTTCAGTGGAACCACTTTTTAGCGCAGCTCTTTTTCTATATTGTTTCGAATTGATGACTAATTTTTTTTCTTTGTTTATCAGGTAGATTAACAAAAAGTATTGGACACGTATTTTTTCTTTTTTTTTCACATAATATAAACATTACAGAGATATTGATTTGAAAAGTCGCATAACGTTACGTTTTGGTACAATTTTCACTTAAAAGTGACATCATGAGCCCCTACTCCCAAACTTTGACGCGCTATAACTTTGCCGTTTTTTGGTTGTTTGTCCAAAGAAAAAATACGTGTCCATTATTTTTTGATCATCTAACTGACGGACTAAATAGAATTTCGTTTACTGTACCCCGTCATCACCCCTATTCGTTGGTCGTACCTTGAGATTTTAAAGATAGATCAATGCTATACATCCCGGCAAGCTTCTTGAGCTTGAACCGTGGACAACGGAGAATGTGCAGTAGCAATTTTACATACAAAATGAGTACTGCGCAAGTGTATTTTGTCTGTGGGTTTGCTCAAGAATTTGCCGCCGCGTTTCGGTAGTTTTGATATTTTACACAGTTCTTGTTAATAAAAGTCGACTAACAAATACATATTGATAACTATAACATATGAGGAAGAAAATATATATTTGACTTGTGTTTTAGTAATAGGAACTGTATAAAAAAGCCTAATTTATCGTTTTCCACAACGTGTCAAATTATAGTCAGTCAAACTGTCTACACCACAGAACATGGAAAGAGGTTAGAAGGGTGATCATAGCCTATTGTACGGGAACCGATGTCGCCTGCTCGTTCCCACTACTTTTCCACCTAATAGATAATAGCCAATCAAATGACGCGACATCAAACAATCGAACAAATCAGCGCTCACACCCGAGAGCAATGACGCAATCGATTGGTCGAGTTATGAGAATTTGCTCACACATAACTGTGGCGCTCTTGCCCCGCTCGCAAGGTCTTTCTAACCTCTTTCGTTTGGTCTACAGGCAGCCCGCTAATTCATTACGACAGATCTAATTTAAATTTCGGACGCTAATTTTTAGCGCTTTTAGTCTCAAAGTCACCCGAAGCTTCGTCGCGTACATGTGGAAGAAGTATTATGAGAACATCTACCCATGCCTGCGTTATAAACGTGGCAACAGACGCAGGAGTGGAAGAGGAATCATGTCGGATTTCGGTTGTGGAGTAGTAACATTGTCGTAGTACCCTGAATAGCTGTTGTCCGTACTACAGGGGGGTTCGCCCCAGAAGGGCGCCGTCATGATGGTCTACCTCTACGGACTGGATCCGCAGGCGGTCAATGCCGATAGGCAGACTTTACGATTACGCTAACGCCTTTCCACATCTGCTTTTATCGCGATCATAGACTAAGCTTCGCTTCAATAGTCGCAGATGTGGGAGAGGAATTAGAGGATAATGTCGAATATCGGTTATAGTGTAGTAACATTGTCGTAGTACCCTGACGAACTGTTGTCCGTACTACAGAGGGGTTCGCCCCAGAAGGGCGCCGTCACGTCATGATGGTCTACGGATTGGATCCGCAGGCGGTCAATACCGATAGGCAGACTTTGCGATAGCCGCTAACGCCTTTCCACATCTGCGTTTATCGCGATCATAAACTAAACTTCGCAGCAATAGACGCAGGTGTGGGAGAGGAACTAGAGGATCATGTCGAATATCGGTTGGAATGTAGTAACATTGTCGTAGTACCCTGACGAGCTGTTGTCCGTACTACAGGGGGGTCCGCCGCAGCAGGGCGCCGTCATGATGGTCTACGGGCTGGACCCGCAGGCGGCCAATGCCGATAGGCTGTTCAACCTGTGCTGCCTGTACGGGAACGTTGTGAGGGTGAGTTGAAACAAAACTTCATTCATAAGAATTGTTTATACACCGTGAATTTTGAGTTACCTGAGAGGCTTAAAAATCGTGTAACAGTCATACGAATATATACATACATACACACTTATTATGGAAATTTTATCCGTTTAAAATATGTAAATCCTAAAACGATATTTTTTAAATAATTGCATGACTGTTAAAATTCCTAATGTTTTATAATTGCAAATTAGTGAGAAAACCTAAAGACATTTTTCGAAAAAACTGATTAAAGAAAACAATTTCGCGTAAATATAACCTGAACCCTTGTCTGAATTAGCAATCTCAGGTAATTCAAAATTCACGATATAGATTATTAGAATCAGAAGCAATTATTTTTTATCGATTGATAAGTGTAAAATATGTTGGGTAGGAAACATTAAAAGAAAAATTAAGAAGTGGCTAATTTTCTAGTAGCTGTAATTTTTCACAAGATCTTCTCCTCTTGAATGGAGTTTTAAGATTTATACAGAAGAACTGGGCACTAGAATGTCCAGAAACTTAGATATATACCATAATGCGTTTTTAATCAACGTGAATGATTCATTGAGTGCCAGCAATTAGTCCTTGGCCAAAGTTGTTTGATAAGATTATTCACTAGAGGTTTTCAATAAACTGTATTTCTGTGCTTTTGCAAATCTATACAATTGTGTAGATAGAAAACCCAAAGAAGGTTGTGAATTAAAAGCTGACCAAAATAAATTAATTAACTGTAATCATAGTATTATATTTTTTGAGACACCAACATCCGTAAAATGGATTATTCCAACTTGAACTATATTTTTTCTAAATTCAAATGTAACCAGCTCTTTCACGCTGAGCAGTAGTAGAATTATGAAAAAAAACTGCCGTCCTCCAGTAAGTTTTAGAAAGCCAAAGAGAGCCCATTGCATATACATGGAAAAAACTATCTATCAGCAAGTTTCAACAGTCAATCTCTACTAGAAGAGATAGCCCTAATAGAGCTTCGTCCATATATTTTTATTATTTGGATTATGAAATCAACTATATAAGCGGAACCACATTAATCTTAACTTTTACTAGAGTTTTAAAGATGATTTTCTTCCACCAGATAAAGTTCCTGAAGACCAAAGAGGGCACAGCCATGGTCCAGATGGGAGATGCAGTCTCAGTAGAGCGCTGCGTACAGAACCTGAACAATGTCACCGTCGGAGATTACACTCTTACTCTCGCGTAAGTTTAAATCCACGGAACCCAACATTTTATCGGTATAAGAAGTATCCTATGCCTCAGTCCAGGTCTTAAACTATACGTGTACCAAATTTCATTTGAATCCTTTCAGTAGTTTTTCGTGTTTGAGTAATAAAATCAAACTTTCACGTTAATAATATTTGTAGCAAGTAGGATTATTAATATTGCGGTTTTGCCCGCGTTAATTTGAAGTAAAAGGTTCCAGGAGTGAAACTGAAAAGATGAATGAAATAAATTAATGAAGCCCCCCCCCCCGCCCCCCCCACGGCAATGGCTACCTAGAATCGAGATACGAGTCTCAGAGACGCGCCCTAGTTGAGCCGACCCCCTCAGGTTCGACCCAGACGGAGAGGAGACTCCGCGGGGAGATGCCATATTCCCGAAATACCTCTAGATGCACTCGCCAATTCTCGGCTTGAGGTCCCTTAGAATCTCGCCGTCGCCAAACCCGGTGACGCTGTATAGGTCATCTGCGACCAACAGCACAAAAAGGAAGATATTAAAAGCGAAAATACCGTCACATGCATGATTTTGTATAACTTAAACCGTCTACGCGACGCACGCAACGGAGGCTCTCAAATAGAATATTTTTATTTCTCGTTTTTGCAACATTTTTCATCGATGCTGCGCTCCTACTGGTCGTAACCTGATGTTATATAGCCTTCCTCAATAAACGCACTGTCCAACACAAAAAGAATTTTGCAAAGCGGACCAGTAGTTTCTGAGATTAGCGCGTTCAAACAAACAAACTCTTCAGCTTTGTAGATAATATTAGTATAGACTAGCGGCCGCCCGCTACTTGGTCCGCGTTTTTATTTTTTATTTTTTCTCTAAAATAAAAGTAGCCTAAGTTACTCCTTATTACATCAGCTAAAATCGGTCTAGCCATTTTAGAGATCAGTCGGAACAAACAGACAGACAGACAAAAATTGTAAAAAATGTTATTTTGGTGTATGTACCGTGTATATATTCATATGCATGTAATTAAGCGGTTATTTCAATATTACAACCAGACACTCCAATTTTATTTATGTATAGATAATGATGATACCATTGTTTATTACAGTTTCTCCAAACAAGCTTACCTCTCCGAAGTGATGAACCCTTACCCGTTACACGACAAGAGTCCCTCGTTCAAGGACTACGTGGGCAACAAGAACAACCGCTTCCTGACTCCCGCCTCTATACACAAGAATCGGATACAGCCCCCGTCCAAGGTGAGTGTTGCCAGTAAACGGTCATAATTATATTGTGGACGCCTGCGAGCGTTGCCAGTAGTAAACTAAATGTTTTTTTTTGTCTTTCTTTCTTTTTTCTTTTCGAGTTTCACATTTCGTCATCATCATTACCCTATTAATGTCCCCACTGCTAGGGCACAGGCCTTCCCTATGGATGGAATAGGGATATTGGGCCTTGACCAAGTACGCGGGCCCGGCGCGGATTTGGTGCTAACGACTGCAGATGCAGCCGGGACCAATGGCTCAGCGTGCCTTACGAAGCAAGGAGGATCTCAAGATAGTAAATTTTTGGTCACCCATCCAATGACCGACCACTGCGAAAGTTGCTTAACTTCAACGATCGCAGCCGAACACGCCAACCACTTGCGCCATCGAGCTCCTCAATGTATTACAATAATATTGTTTAACTGTATCTTTCTGTTCTGTTCTGTAAAATTTACGATCTCGAGCTCTTCCGTACTTCGGAAGGCACGTTAAGCCGTTGGTCCTGGCTGCATCTGCAGTTGTTAGCTCCCGCCAATCCGCACTGGGCCCGCGTGGTGGGTCATGGTCCAATCTTTTTATCCCATCCATAGGGAAGGCCTGTGCCCCAGCAGCGGGGGCATGAAGAGGCTGATGATGATGATGATGATGATTTTCCTGTTTCCCTTCAGGTGGTGCATTTCTTCAACACGCCTCCTGACGTGTCGGACGAGCAGTTGCTGCAGGTGTTCCGCGACTACGGCGTGTCCCCGCCACACACCATCTCCAAATTCCCGCTCAAGAGCGAGAGGTGAGTATACTGCGGCATACGTTTGTCTCTCTCACACAAAATACCTTTTAGAATAGAAATAATTTTATTTGAGACAACAAAAAAAACATAATAATATGAAAAATAAAATAAAAATTAAATTTAGTCTCAAAACGGTCCCAACTCAGCATAGTGCTAATGTTGCCATTAGCGCTGGTCTTCCGTTGGAACAGGTTTTATTTTTATTTTTTTATTTTTAATTATTTATTTATTAACATCAACAAGATTAACACCAACTCATTATAAAGTAACTTACAAACAATGTGGAAGAAAACTAAGTGCAATCTTAATTATAGATGTAAAACAATATAAGTATATTTATATAGAAATACATATTATTCGACATTCATGACTGGGGTACAAATGCTCGTATTCATCACGCAAACGTCTGCCCCCACCGGGATTCGAACCCGGGACCTCTCGAGTCGGCGACACCATGAGACCCGGCGTACAAACCACTCGGCCACGGAGGTCGTCAAAAAAGAAAGTTAATAATAGCCCGGTTTTAGTTTATAAATGGACGGGAAATGCTCAGTTCATACTGTATGTCTATGGTAACACTGTATCCAAGTTCTTGCTTTTGCTCAAGAGAGAGAGGTGACCAGACACCCGTCTCTTTCTCCTTCACACACTCACAAAAACACACACACACATTTCCATTTCTAGACTTATGTATTATATATTTTCTTATCTATAATTTGAAAAGACAGAGCAGCGCAACTATTTTCAGAATTGCAATATTTCACAAATCTCGGTAGCCTAGCAGAAATATTAGGCATTCGGCTAGTAAACATCGAAAGTTTCGAGGCCGTATTCCTTAATGAATACTTAGCAGCGAATTAAGTAACGATTTTTAGTGATTCTTCCAAAAAAAAACACGTTTTTTATATGTTGTCATGTGACGGAAAACACCTGGGATTGGCGGAGCTTATATTGACATCACACAGGTAAACTTCCGGTCAAAGTGACATTAGTTGTACCTACCGTTTGACGTTTAAATGACAGCCGTATGACGTCAAACTTAGGTGAACACGCCATATTACCCACATAAACGTTTTAGCGGCATATCTGAAAGTATTATTTTTGATTTCGATCTTACTGAAATACAACAGGATGAAAAATAACCACTTTTTTTGGATTCAATAAATATTAATAGGTATATAACGTGTATAACGTGAGAGAGCATCGTTTCCAAACAGTTGTCTAACGGTGGCCTCAATTCCAACGCGTACAAAGAAATTTGGTGACTCATTTCTTTGTCGCACTATCCGTAAATGGAATGCTCTGCACGCTCACGTGTTCCCTCCCTCTTACAACCTGGGAGCCTTTAAAAGAGTGAGGAGGAGTGAGGATGGCTGGTGTGGCAGGTAGAACTGCTGTACCAGCTATCTTCACGTCCGGACTTCACCGTCACTTAACATCAGGTGGGGTGGAGTCCCTTGTCGGACCTATCTATAAAAAAATAAAAAATAAATTGTCAAATACCCTATTCCGATAAATATGTGAAATATTCATTGACTACTAGTGGCCTGCCTTCGCTTCTCTTCAGTGTAGAGCTGTAGTGTTGAATTCGAATTATTCTCACCTTACAAACCTTCCCTAGACCTCCACGAACATTTCAAGACTCAGATAAGATAAATCTGTTCAGCCGTTCTCGAGTTATAGCGAGATTAACGAACAGCAATTGATTTTTTTATGTATAGACTAGCTGACCCAGCGAACTTCGTACCGCCCTAAAAAAATAGGGGTTGTCCAGCGGACAAAATTGTGAATCTAAACCATTCTCAGATCCCCTTAAACACACACAAAAAATTTCATCAAAATCGGTCCAGTCGTTTAAGAGAAGTTCAGTGACATACACACTCACAGAAGAATTATATATATAAAGATTATTATTTATAATTCTATCTCTAATATGATTTCAGATCATCGTCCGGCCTTATGGAATTCCAGAACATTTCACAATCAGTAATGGCGATAATGGCATGCAACCACGCGACCATTCAGCACCCAGGTGAGTTACACGCCACACACTACCTTATTACCACCACATAGAGTACAGTATCGCTTGTATGGGAAAAAACAATGTCAATGTTGATGATACAATATGTAAATTGGAGAGCTAGAAACAATTTTTCAAATTCGATTCGGTCAAGGCTGGTGGATTTTTTTCTAGATAATTTTTCTTTCGATTTAAACATCTAGCAGTTACATGCTTTCGAAATACAAATATGTATAACTGTAATTGCTATTTTTTGTTTCAAATATTTAAAAATATTTATATTCTTTCCATATCAGAGTATGTCTGTGTTTGGCAAGAACAACATAAAAAAATCCAATCCGTGCACAATCCTTGCATCCTACACTAAGTGACGAGAAACGACTTAGGCCCGTATTATAGAAAGATTTTCAGTGATTGATCTAGTCTTGAGCATAGATAGAAAGGGATGTCGCTATATATAGCACATAACGGCATCCCTTTCTAACTGTACTCAAGTAAAGATCAACACTTAGTTGTCATTCTGTAATGCGGGCCTTAGACTCAAGCAGTTGGCTTACATTTTTTTCAACGTCATCTGCACTGCCACGCTTTATCTAGGAGTAAATAATCAAAGGCGATAACATATAAAACATATAAATGAGGGTGTTTAGGACAATTCACGTCACCAGTTGGCGCCACTCTATGACGACATACGTGATTTGACGGATGAGTAGACCTTTCGTCTCAATGCTGCCACCTGGGACCCGTCGTTCCAGAAAACCCTCATTGAACTATAAAGTTTTACTATTTAGATTAACTTTTATTATTATTATTTGCTTCGCAGGCGCAAAATTCCCGTTCGTTATGAAGCTGTGCTTCTCGTCGTCGCGACAGATTGGCCAAGGGAAAGGCCCACAGACAGCCAAGGGCCAGACACAGGGCCAAGAGAACCAGCGGCAGGGTCAAAACAACGGCATCGCAGAGCACGAATATTAGTAAGACACCCTATTATTATAGACTAAATTTTAAAAAAACACGAGAAATAACAATACAATGTGTATAATAAATAAAGAGATAAAGGTATAACACAAAAATGTGGTGAAACAAAAAGACAAAACATATAGTAATATGTAAATTGTTTTCTAGGGACGAAGGACCAATGTTAAGTCGGATGATTTTTTTTTGCTATTTCGTTTTGTAATTATGTTTTGTTTTTGTTCGACGGACCGGTGGAGCTTTGGCTGTTTGTTTTTCGTTTCCTTCGCCAGTATTTGGTATTGATAAGTTTGAAATGTGTGCATTGCGTGAAAGGAAGTGTGACCTTATTGCATTGAAATAAAGTTCTTGACTGACTTTTTAATAAAGTTTTTTTACTATACTTTTTTTTGATTCAATATATGTTCGAATTATGTGAATGCATTTTTCTCTGCCGGTCCAGAATCTTGTATTGTAGAGTGGAGGATGCTTTAGGTTGGCAGAATTGATGGAACACGCGCGGAAATTGTTTTGTGTTTGAGTAAGCGAACCAAAGATGATGTTACCAACCTGACAGTTTAAAAATTGGCATGTGGTAAAGTCATGAAATTAGTTGTATGCAAATTAATTTCTTGAAGCATACGATTCGATTCTAAAACTCATGATCGAGATATTAATGATACTCTGCCGATTTCATGACGCGATCCCGTACCTAGTGTTGTTAATTAAGTAGTAGATTTATTAAAAAAAATCACTGTTTTTTTCTGTTGTAATGTAGAAATATTCTCGTTTCTGTTGTAATATAATGAAGTGGCAGGTTCATTTATATGTGCACAAATAAAGTAGTTAGGTGCAAAAGGTAATTTTAGTCGTGTTAAATTTTTTATGGTACAGCAAAAAATATATAATTTAAGAGTTGGCCTAAGATTTAGGGTTAGTTGTATCGTTTAATAATTATGTCATCCATAGTTTTCACTTACTGCTTTTTCTCTTGGTAAAAGTTTGTTTCTATATAAAGTGACCCAATTTATGTATCAGGATGCATATATATGTACATATATATAATACGAGCGTGAATTTGTTACTATATCCAAGCAGACAAATTCTTTATTTTCTTGAAAATAATTCATTTGCATTGACGTGCTCTGTATTGCACTATTGTTAGTAATTTTCTTACTGACAACAATATCTACAAGAAATTTAAGTATTATTTACAAGTCTACTAAATAATATTTTTAATATTATCTTTCATAACATGCTACGCAATCCTGAAACAGAATATATTGTTCCTTTATATATAAATAAATAAATTTGATGTATTACTGACGTGCATTTTTAATATTTCACATAGACCTATTTACCATTTATACAGTTTACCTAGTGTTAAAAATTGTTAATTCACAATCTAATTTATTTTTTTATATTTCCTAGTCAACATTTATATTGCATAATATGGACTTTGTTGCAATACAATGGACTGAATACCTATTTAATATTGTTTCTATAATGAAATTTAATTATTTCTTTGTTACATAAAAATCTTTTGACCTTCTAAGTAGTAGGGACCATAGATTTATAAATTTCTCTATACTTGCTTGAATATTGTAAAGTATTTTCGTATCGCTTGAGTTTTTATTAAAATATACGAAGAACTTTTTAAAATCCAGTGTTTTAAAGAGCGATTTTAAAATTTTTATAACGAACGAGCGATTCTTAATAATACCAGCGATGTTTTCATATACCTACGCGTTTCAAGAATATATATATTATATATTTTTTCATAGACATTTTACCTTTGCGTCTTTTTACATCGGAAGTATTTTAATCGTTCGTTGTGATTGTAATGTAAAATAGGTTCTATTCATATTAACATAGGGCTGGAAATTCTAAAGGTTTTTAAACATTTGATAAGGCAAAATTTTCTGAACGCTGGTGAATTTAAAGAGCCTATATAGGATTTTCGCTTTTATATACACCTTCTTCGTTATCAACTGAATTAGATAAAACTATTCTTGTAAAATTAACATTGTACACAATTTTTTCGTAAATAAAACTTTCCATTTTCTAGAAAAGTAACAATTCTGACACTAGAGCATTTGAAATTGTACCCTAAGCTAATTGTAATTAGACATTTTATAATAGATTTTGTTGACATTTTCCTTTCGTTCCTTCTCTGCCTCGTCTTAAGCCAAATAATAAGCCAAAGTTCATAAAAATTGTTAGTAAGTATTAACTTAAAATATATTGAGAGATGATTTGTACATAATAATATGATGCTGTTGAGAAAACATTAATTTGTCGCTTCATTACTAGTTTAATTAATAGTACACTCAAGTACTCAAGTGTCATGTTCAATAAGTATAAAAAAAAATTTAGAAGTAAACAAAGCGATGTTATAAATATAAGATTGTAAAATTTTATCGGAAATAGTTTAATCGTGTCAATAGTGAGGTTTTTAATGTATTATAATGAAATGGAATGACATATCTATGTGAATCACATGGAAATATATAAGAAGTCAATTTTTATTATCGCTGAAATTGGGCCTGTAGATATATAAAAAAAATGTAAGCGCATATTCTCTATTAACTGTAAACCAATCATATACAAACGTGCACAACAGTCATTTATTTTGTGAGAAAACTTCACTGAATGCTTTTTATGCTTGTATTATAGTTAGATATGGTCATTTAAGCTGTATTAGAAATGCTGTAGGTAATTTTATTCAAAAAATAATAATATTGCTAATAGTTTACATCGGTTGTGCACGATTGTACATCTGCTTGCCATGTCAATGTATGTATGTCAATTTGTAAATTTTGTTTAGCGATATGCATCATCGCTAAATTCTCGTTCTGAATTACGCTTCAAAATAACTACATATCAAAAGGACAAATAATAAATCTATAATGATAGTGTTTGGAACAGACTATATTACATGCATAATCTCTTTTTAACAAAAAAAACTTTCTTTTCTGGTTTTGCTCAAATTTTTAAGTTTTTCTCTATTTTTTGTTTTGTTTTTACGTTCTTGTTTCGTAGTGGAACTACATACATATTATACTTAACAAATTAGTACTTACATGTTTTCTGGTCTGTCGAAAATGGGGTTGTTGGAACCGCGACCGTATAAGCCAAAGCCAACCTTGATGATAACTAAATCCAATCAGAATCCTCGAATTCCAAGTTTCCATTCTGGCAAGGTATCTTCAAAAATTTGCTTTAACCAAAAATCTAAAAGAAACATGTAAACAGACAACACTCAGTATATATTATGTGCATTTGTCGAAATTCTAATGAAGACTCCACTAAGATTATTCGATTACTGTATTTATTTCAAACTACCCTCAGGGAAACATTCCTATTTTCGACATCGAATCCAGGAGCTGTGTACTTTTAAAATCGATAAATCGATGTATAGCGCACTACGTCATGACGTGTCCTACTCTAAAAATATGCGAGTTAGAGAAGGATAGATGATGGTGAAAATCACGTTATATTTTTAATCGATTTTCAAAGTACACGCACAGACTTTAGCTACTTACATGGAAACTCACGTGACGTATTTGCTTCTATTATAGTTAACGGCGAAGCGGCGGCGCACACACACACAACACATATCAAGACGGAGGCACCACACACACACACGGCACGGGGGGACTGGGTTGCCATTGCCACAAAAAAATATACCCCTACTGTACTGTTGAAACTGCCAAAACCGTACCCCATTCACAGTTACACCACCTCTTCACACCTGATATTGGAAATTGCGTTCGAAAAATAAAAATGTGGTCTCTTTTCCCATTTGTAACGGGTAGATTTTGCGCAATGGCAACATCTTAATGATTCCTTTATTTTTACAATTTATGTGATCTAGATCACTTTCTATAAAGACATTAACAGTTAGTGCGTTTTTTTTTCTATATAATGTATTAATTGATAGACACAGTTACATTTTTTGCATAACATGATTACATTTTATGTATGATACATATAATATATATGTCACATTTTTTACATTTCCATTATTATTTTTTTGGTTTTCTTATGTTTTACGGAGCCACGCTCCAATGAATTAGTGCGTCATGCATTATTTTGTTTATTCGAACTAGTGGTTTAGTTAGTGTTTAAGTAAAATTCCCATTTTATTTGTGTAATATTAGAATTTATTCGTGTCGTATGATTTCAGTGCCATTTTCAAAGGCTCGTTGGTGTAAATTTTATTGATATAAGTACTCGATTCTCGACCTTAACCCCCTATACGTTTAGGTGGTATTCGTTTGATTTCTCTAGAGTTTTGAGGATGGTACTGCTGTTTCCCGTATGGTGATTTCGTAGTAATTAATTGATATTATAATTTTGCAAGTTTGTTTAAGACATTGTTGTTGTAATAAATTTGATGTTTTTTCAGTTTGTATTCCTTTGAATGCGCTTACGGCGAACGTTCATGTATTTTTATATATATATATATATATATATATGTATAATATACAGAGAACTCTTTGCACGTGCGCTAGCAATTCGGTTGTTTGTAAACGTGACAGTTGTGAAATGTACAAGAAATAAAGATACTGTGGTATAAGGTAGAACATTTGAGTTTCATTTTTTATTTCAAAAGCAATAATTCATAGAGTACCATGCTTATAGTGTGCATGTTTTTAGTTTTTTTTCTCTTTCTCTATTTATATATTGTTGCATGTTTTTCTTACTTGACATGAAAACAATAGTCGCAGAACGATGTCGGAATTCCTTTGACCATTTTACTAATAAACTGTTTAAGAACCAAAAAAAAATCTTAATGTAAGAAATAGTTTAGCACTCTTTAGGATATAGTAGTAAGCGTCATTGCAATGTCAATTATATTCGATTAGTGAAAAAAATAATAATGACAGTATGGATTTTCTATAAATTTTTCTTAAAATATGTCTTGCATATAATATACTTGAAAAAAAAAGAAAAAAATATATAGAGCAACGGTTAAATTTTCGAAATCGAATTACGAACATAGGTTGTCTTCGATAACAGAACACCATTTGAAAACTATACTTACTAATATATATAAATGTATTTTTTTTGTTTTTGTATCTAAGAAAATTCATGTTTGTATCGTGTGACTCTTGTGGTAGATCGTCTATTTAACTGTTTACTGGCTTTCGGTCTAATATGGCAAGAGGTTCATTCACCATCTCTTTTTAAACTCTGTTCTTTCGATATATCATACCTAATTGTCATTTTGTCAAAGATTATACCGTGCCTATGAGCCGCGCCGTTTAAAAACGTATGGTGAAAAACCTAAGAAAAGATAAATTTTTATTACGCCTTAAACAGTATATATTCATAGAATTCAATTAAAGTAATAGTTCCCTAAATAGCTGATTTAAAGAATTATTAAAAATATAAATTCAATGTTATCAAGTAAATAGAAGCATATCTTTTTCTCTAGAAAACATATTTTCGAATGGAAATAAAAAAAAATGTTTTAGTCTTAGGACATTGATGTCGTGATAGATTTCAACTGTTTTGTGTTAAATGTAAAGATGGAGAATATATATATATATATAATAAATATATTATATGATTGTTTTCTCTATAGTAATTTTGTTGTAACACTTAGATTTCTGTAATAGTGAATGTTCACCTACTACCTTTTTATGTGAATACAGACAATATGACACTGATCTACTCTGATATAACATTTTAGAACATTCGTTTTAGGCATTAAAGTTGAATATTGCGCATCAGTAGCATGCACACATTACTAACACTAAAAACAATTTTAATGTCTGAAATTCACGAACATCCCTTACCACTTAATTAATCTTGTATTTACCAAGGAGAGACGCTCACAAAATTACGAGACACAATAACAGCACTTTGTCATAACAACTATTCTTAAGATAATGTAACATTAATGTTTTTTTAATTTTTTCTTTCAACCTTATTTTGTTTTTCAAGTATTTTAGCTTACCTTTCATTGGATTTAGGTACTTGTAGCTACATTGTATACATTAAATACATGTCAACACTACAAAATTTTCTTTCATTTCAACACAACTACCACCTACATTGCATGAAACGTGCACTGTTTTACCTTTACAGCCAAATATAACACAAGACCTATAAACCTTAGCACGAACCATTATCGAATTCGAATAGTTTGCAAATCCGAAATGTCATTGTCAAATTTTGTATGGAAACTTGAACAGCAGAGCCATAACGGACGTAACGAGAACTAAAAATCAGTACACATTTGACAGTGACATTTCGTACTCGCAAACGTTACGAATTCGTTATTGGTTCGTACTAGGGGTACAGAAGAACTTTCATACATTTTGCTAAGTGCCCAGTATGAGCTTTTAACAGTATTTAAACGGTCGAGTTTGCGTAAACGCGCTATTGTATAGCATTTGATAAAGCGCCATCTACTGAGAAATATATCGTACTACAATAAAAGCCGATTCTACATTTCCTGAAGTTAATTTATAAGTTTACGAAATGTGTGAGTAAAATGATGTTACATTTTTTACTATTTATAAATACTAACTTAAAAACATTATTGCTAAAATAAAAAATGCAACTTATTAACCAGTTTTACCTGCAATCAGGGGCACATTTTAGCAATGAAATGGTTTTTAAAGTACACATTAAAAATATAAAGTTTACGTAGACGCGAGCGTACATTGAAAATCTTTCGAGTTACTGAGGCCTAGGCTCGAGTTTGTGACAGCTGCTAACGTATCTACTTAAAAAACTAATCAGCATCGGACTTAAGAACGAACTAGCTTTTTCCATACAAAATTTGACGATTACGATAGGTACTTCTAGAGCATGCAAAAACCGGACGGTTTTGGAAAACCGCTTTATTCGGTTTTTATTTATAAAAATCGGTTAAATCGGTGTTTTCGGTTTTTTCGGGTTTGTGGCAAAAAATGCGTATTAACTGAAAAAAATCCTCGGAGAACTTACCATGAAAGAGCCTGTAGAATAAGCATAGGCAACCTATAGTAAAATAGCAAAAAAAAAAGTCTACGCAGTTCTAAAGGCTCCAGATTTTCCGCTAGCTTGGGATCATCGACAATCGTATTCGTTCGTCTTAATTTTTTTTGTCCATTGATGCGTAAGGAGAAACGTTATTGTGTCAAGTTCAGTAAAAAAGTAAAAATCCCGAAAAGAACGCTTTTATGACTACAGAAAACCGAGTTCCAAAATCTATCGGTTAACCGGTTGGATGCTCTAGTACCTACCTACTTTACGGAGCTGTCTAAAATTGATGCCTTGGCCTCTGTACATGGCCTAACCTACAAAGTGCGAACTTTAGATACAAAACTCAATCTCTACGTCAACGACTTTAATATTTACACAAACTTACTTTCTAAACGTAATTTTCAACTATTGCCTGATCCAAAGTAAGTATAACACCGACATTAAACCTTAGCATTATTTACTAACATACAGAAGGAAAAATCATGTACCATCAAAGTTTTGTCAAGTAATTATGGCAACATTTTTATACAATGTTATTATCTGGCAATTTCATAATCTTTTTCAAGAGAACCTAACGGCCAGTTGCAATAGATCATTCACAGCATTTGGCATTTGTTTAATTTTGCTTTCTATTGGATGCAATTCGAAACATTCTCTGCAACAGATATTACAGTATTGATAAAACGAATAATAACAATATAGCTTTTTTCTTCTTTAACAAAGTTTATTTATGTACCTACTTTCAAGAAATTGTTGTGGAAATTTTCTAATCTGTGATGGTGATAATTTTTGGTTTTATTTGATCAAACTAGTCAATCGGAATATTTTTCTCTTTACATTATACTTATAAAATGATTAATTATTTATATACCTACATGATGATGAGGTAACTTAAAATTACTTATTTGTAAAAAGGAAATCTTTATCACAGAAAGATCAGTCTAAGGGTACATTAAGTTTATAAATGTAAATATACACATTGTTTCATGTTCGTTCGAAGATTAATTTAATTGTAAATTATTAGTATAATTAAAAAAGTATTTATACATTACAACGCTGCACTTAAATCGTGAAGAGAATGTAAATTGTATAGAAATAAATAACGTTTTGGAATAGTTTGGTGTTATTTTTTTCCTGGTATGAATACCTATACAAAAGTTATTTCTTCCTTAAGTTTTCACGCACACCGCTCATTAAATGAAATACGCTTAAACGTGATATCTATACTTTTATACTAATATTATAAAGAGGAAAGATTTGATTGTTTGTTTGTATTGAATAGGCTCCGAAACTATTGGACTACCTGTGATGAACATAGGCTATAATTTATTTTCAATATAGTTAGGGTTCCGTATGATAACTTCGGTAATGTAGTACCTATGTAGGTATATGTATATTTAAATATTTATAATAACTAAAATAAATTAAAGCTAAAGTTTTATAGAGGACATCAATATCTATAAAAAAGTCCGCGACATCAGATTTCTAACTATTATAGACCTAATCACAACTAGAGGTCCCCTGCGGTTTTACCCGCGTTAATTTGAAGCAAAAGGTTATAGTGACTCCAACTTAAAATATGGACATATGCTGTCGCGGACTTTTTGACAGGACTTTTAAAGGGGAACAATTCCGTCCTACATGATTTTTGTGTAACTTACCAAGTGCACGCAACGGAATCTCACAAATGGAATATTTTTACCCGTTTTAGCAACATTTCAGCGATGCTCCACTGCTACTGGTCGTAGCCTGATGTTAATAGCTTTAGCCTTCCTCGATAAATGCACTATCCTATACAAAAATATTTTTTCAAATCGGAACAGCAGAGCTATGGTGCATTGGATACAATGAGTCATAAACTACGCAACAAATTTTTACTTGGAAACTTGAAAGTGTGTCGTTAGCATTGACAACCCAGCATCACACATACTTGCAGCCTCTCAGAGTCGATCCTAAGTAGTCTAAAAAAATTGAGGTAGATCGCCAGCAGTTAAAGTTTGAGCACCCCTGAGCTATACCATTTAAACCTTACGGAAAGTCGTCGGCGGAACCTACCGACGATCCTAGCTGACCACTGAACCTTCGAAGGAGCTGGACTTTCGATCTATCTGCAGACGGATATCCTAGGCCTGTTATGTTCACTAATAGTCCCCCTCACCTGCGAAGTTGCGAAGTTGCGACGGCCACAGAACTGTATTTGGGTAATATAAGGATTATTTTCTACCGAGTCTATGTTTTATTTACGAACTCACTACCTGCGAGCCTTACCAGACGCGATGGAAGGTTTATACTTATTATGAAGAAAGTCATTGTGTAAGTAATAATACAAAAATTATAGTCTACACTACACTACAGCTCTACAACGAAGCGAAGCGAGGGCGGGCCACTATATATATTAATACATACTCAATAAAATTATAATAATCTTTCAATGAAGTATCCGAACGCTCCTCATGATAGCACATGAAATGACTGATCCGAATGTCATCAGTTGGATCATTTTTATAAGGTTCCGTAGTACTAACAAGGATCCTTTCTAGTTTCGTTATATCCATCTATCTTTCGGTCCGAGATTTTGCTTGGAGACTATTGGCCCTAGAGAACTATAAAGTAGAGATATATCTATTTTTTTCATCGTCTACCCCATCGTGTGGGGTATCGTTGAATAGGTCATTTAAAATGACTTAAGGCAAGCTTAGACTATTTTTCGATTTAGGGATCCGTTTGCGAAATATCAAACCTTGAAGTGCAAATATTGGTTCGAGTAATGTATGGCTTTAAAATTTAAAAAACAAATCGTAACAATAGCGCTTTTCATGAACTTATAAGGAACATAACATGTGGCTTAATTTAATTGAATGCAGATTCCCTTTTGTTTAAAATACAAACTAAATACGAGGGAAATCTCGAGAACGCGCGAAGATTCCCCGGAAGACGCGACCATTTTTGGCCCATAAATAGTTTGTACCTACTAAGTTCGTTTTTATACAAAATTTACTTGTGAAAATAGCTTTTGTTCCATTCCGCAGCGGTATTGAAATGATAAAAAACTAACAAAAACGAATGAATTATAATCATGGGTCCAGTGTGTACGCAGCATGAAAAAAACCAGAACCAGTTAAGTGGCTGTCAAAACCATCCATAGAGTACGTTCGAACTATCGGTTTTCTGCGGTTTCTGGTATCGATACTGAGTACTATTATAATATCGATAGCAAAACTATCGTTTCGTAGTATCAAATACTATAGAAACTCTACGAATTACTCTACTCTGGTTCTATAATATTTGGTAGTATCTACTCGTATTGAGTATTTTCTGAGACCAGTGAAATGATGCTGAGAAAGGATTATTGTAAAATATTAGTTTTATGGAAATATAAATAAATTTAAAATTTCACACTAAAATAAAAACTACTCCTCTTCTGGGCCACATAGTACAATATGTATGAAGATAAACTTATTAACAATGAATTACTTATAATTGAACTACTTAATATTTGAATTGAAACGTTAATTGTATTTTCCTTGTGCGGTCGTTTTGGAAATATGTACTGTTCTTTCTCTTTTCCTCATAACGCTGCTTTTATATCTTTGTCCTTGTCACTGGCTGGGGCTTAGAAAGCGAAGATGCATGAGAAGCCCATCAGTCCGGTTTAATGGTGTTCGCATAAGCAATGAGTTTGTAAACTGTAGAAATTCTGAAAAAATAATAGGTGAAACCAGGGCCGGATTTAAAGGTCCAGAGGCCTCGGGGCAACAGAGGAGCGGAGGCCCCCTCACCCCAAATTATTTTCCAAATAAAGTAAACAATTTTTGTTCAGTCGAGTTTTTCAATAAATAATTTATTGTGAACCAAGTAGATTCCCTTAGTATTGAACATAAACGGAAACAAGAATTATCTGAAATTAAATCTTAGAGTTAACGAACGGAACCTTTCGAGCTTTTTTCGCCGAAAAATCGTTGATGATTTCGTTGAAATGGAGTTCTCGGAGTAAAGGTAAAAGAGCAAAAAAAAGATATCAAAGGAAAAGATGTTTTCTAGTGTTTACTAGTTGGAATTTGAAAGATTTTTTTTCCGAAGTCTCTATTGTGGGGGCCCCCCCGTTTGTGGAGGCCCCGGGGCTTTCGCCCCGGTTGCCCTCCCCTAAATCCGGCAGTGGGTGACACTAAAACATTAATTCCTATTTTTTTCTTTTTGTGATACACCCTAAAATACACAAGGTTAAATAAAAACAAAGACAGAAAGTATACAATATGGGCGAGGAGGCCTTATTGCTAGGCAGCAATCTCTTCCAGGCAACCCTTAATGGAAAGATATATCCTCTTTCTAACACGCGTGGGTAAAAAAGAAAGTGAGAAGTGAAAAAAATCCTTAACTGGTGAATTGGTGAGGTGTGCCGCTGAAAGTAGAAAAGGAGCCATTAACATTAAAATAAGCCCATCTTGATCCCTAGTTTTCCTTTTTTTCCCTTCCCTCTTTTAGGGATACATAGTCCTGACAAGGAACAAGTAGAAAGGACAGTTAAAGCTAATATCTTTCTTTAAAAATATAATATTATAATTAAATAAAATATTAAATATATACCTAAATCCCAAACTTTAAAATAAATATTATATAATTTTAACATAAAAACACAGGCCATGTCACAGTATCTTTAAAGGACTAAGTAAATTTAATTAATAAAATTGTTTTATGGTTACTATCATCAAGAATTGTTACATCATATAATTAGAGTTTACTTATCCATAACATAACTCAGCATTTTTATTTTTCAAAATTCAAAAAGTATAAACAGAAAATCAATAGGATCGTAGGATCGCTGAGCATGAGTAAATACTTATGTTTTCGTTTTTTCATCATCTTTTTGCAATATTAGTTAAAATAAAAAAAATCAAAATACTTAGATGTGATTCGCATTGTTTTCATAAATAATTGACTTTTCTCGTCACTATTGCAATGTGTCAAAACGTCATCATAGTGTACGGCAACTATACAATACCGGCAAAATGTTTATATCCTTATGAATAAGTAGCGGGCTTTGGGATCGCGTACTCAGAATCGAGTATCACCATCAAAAGTATCGATGCTAGGGCAAGTATCGTTCGATCGATCCCTACTCTTTGGCCGGAACTGTCAAAATTAAATACGTAATGGTGGCTGCCTGCGCGTAGAAATCATTGCTGACAACATATTTTACACAACACCGAATTTGGAAACCTACAGAAAACAATAAATTTTATGGATACTTTGTAAAGTTTGCAGGTAAATGAAAATGTTTTTATTGTGTTTTACTCCAAAATCTAGTTTTAATTAGGGTGTGTCGTTTGATAATGCCAAAATGGCAGCCTCTTTATTAAATACTGTGGAATAATAAATTAATTTCGTCGGAATGAATTTTTTTTGAGTATGGTGGTAACAGTTTTAAATTTTGACCTCTCGTTATTGATAAGAATGTAAACAATAACAAACAAAGTGAACAAGCTAAAAGTGATGTTATTTTTTGGTTTAAACTTATGGAATAATTATTATTTCACTTGTTTCTTGTTATGCCATTGGAGTCCTTTTACTTTAACACCAATGATTAGACAGAAGAAAATATGTTAGTGGGTTCTTGTAAGTAGTTTGATATTAATGATTGTTACAAAAATTGTAGTAACTTTTGATTAGTTATTATATTTTATTTCAAGTGAAGCTTATGAAATCAATTCAATAAGTTTATTCTGTGCTTTGTTGGTAAGAAGAACAAAAGAATTGTACCTGTGGTAATAGAATATAAAGGCATGCAAAATAATTATAAAGCAAAGTGGTTTCTACTCAGTAAATGCTCTCCCATAAGGTCACAGCACCGATCTTCCGTAACACCAGTATGTGTAAGTGGCACTAGTACCCCCTTATTAATAAACAAGGAATAAGCTTAGACAAGTTATGCGATGTTTTGTTCATTTCACTCAAATGCCATTTGTCATTTAATAAACAGAGACAAAACATGGAGTAACTAATCCCAGCATAGTCTTTGTTTATTAATAAGGTGGCTAAAGTTTTTTATTAGACTACATATGCTTCCCAAATACTTTAATAATGCATACAGCGAAGTAGTGGAATTGTCTGCCTGAGTCTGTATTTCTGAATACATTATACAAATCTTTTTAAAGGCAGAGTGAATAGGCTCCGTCTGGGTAAGCTTGCTACAGCTTAAATTCCATTTCTGCTCAGGGGCTTGACAGAGGATCAAGAGCCTACTCACTAACTTATTAAAATAAAACACTCACTAGAGAAAATTTTACTAGTAAAGTTCCACATAGTTGGAGCTTCAGACGGAATTCGAACCCGCACCTTTTGCTTCTGGGCGGAGAGACTTATAAAAGTTAGTTGCTTAAAATAAAAATATAGCAAAATGCACATGCTAGTAAGCTTAGTGTTAAGTTTAGAAATAGTATCAATATAGGTATTACATTTTTTACATGGTGAACTAAGTCTTGAGACATTTACAGCCTGATATTTATCAAATCAATATGAAATTTAATGTTAAACTTAGGGCTGACATTGGTCTAGGGTTCCCCAGATTTGCCTTAGTTTGGAAAGTGTGTGCACCCGATATACCTGGTCTTCAGGGACAGAGAAATGTGCAAATTTATTATTTGTACAGTGTAACAAATTTCTTTTATATTTAAAGAGTTGAGAAAAAATGTCTGCAATTTAGTTAGGTATAAGTACAACCAGAACTTAAACCTTTTATCTGTCATCATTTTGAATAATATTAACAATAGGTGCTTATTAAAGCCCGTCACAGACGTAGCTATAATATATATTAATATATCGAAATATATATTATATTATAGCTAACTACCACAGACGGGAGCTATACTATAATATATATTTTGCCCTCACTCGGTCTGCGGTCGTTTTTGCAAGCGCACGGTTTTAAAGCTTATTTTCTAGCACAGGGTGTTTTAATTTTGAAATAACGTTAAAATCGATCTTACCGAAATGAATTCGACAAGAGCACTACTTTTAGATTTAATTGAAAAATCCTCAGAGGATGATTCCGATGCTGAATTTGATATGCATGTTGCCTTGTCAGGAACGAAAAATAGAAGTTGAACATTCCGTATTATACTAATATGCCAAAATATATCCCGTCACAGACGTAGCTATATATATTTATATATCGAGATATTATATTAGGGGCATTCCACGTGAAGCGGACAGGTAAAAAAACTCGATGTTTCCGATTTCAGTAATATTTGAGTATGTTCTACTTATACTTATTATTGATACGTGTACCAAATATTTTTGTGATATATTGACTAGTTAAAGAGTAATGGGACTTTGAAGTTTTCGACAACCGGTTGGCATGCAGTACTTCAAAGCCGATTATGGACTCATAAAATTATATATTAAAATAACTAAACCACTGGATTTCCTACTTTATTTACTGGGCTTTTTAACTGTGTTTTTGGAATAGAAAAAAAAAATTTTTTTTCGTAAAAAAAAAACAATTTAAGTTTTTTTCCTTGATTTTCACCAAGTTAGACCATTTAGTTTTTTTTAATTTTTTTTATATAAATTGCTAATATTGTATAGAACATTGGTGCCAACTTTTATAATGGGCGTGAAAGTGGATTAGGAGCTAGACTGAAAATACTGCCGAAGGGTGGCGTCCAGCGCCGCGCCTGTTGACCGCCGCTTGTGCGCGATTAGTCATCAAACTGTCAATCAAATAAAATCACTTTTGACGGAATGTTTTGTAGATTTTTAATAAAACCAATACATAGAAAAAATTCCACGCGGACCAGGCAGCAGACGGGACTCGAACCCGCACCCTTCGCAATCCGGGCGAATGCACTGACCAATTATGCTACCGCGGCCCTCATGGACCGCGTCGAAATTCCTCTAGCCATTCTTAAGCTGCAAGGCAGCGCCATCTCTTCGCATTATAGGTAATCCACAATGTCAAATGAATACTTTTACAAGTATTAAACATTTGAAAGAAGAAATAGCAATTATAGTTATAATTTTTATTTCTTTAAAGCATGTAACTGCTTGATGTTTAAATCTAAAGAAAATATAACTAGAAAAAATTCCAGGCGGACCAGGCAGCAGACGGGACTCGAACTCGCATCCTTCGCAATCCGGGCGAATGCACTGACCAATTATGCTACCGCGGCCCTCACGGACCGCGTCGAAATTCCTCTAGCCAGGTGGCAATGGCATAATTGGTCAGTGCATTCGCCCGGATTGCAAAGGATGCGAGTTCGAGTCCCGTCTGCTGCCTGGTCCGCGTGGAATTTTTTCTATGTATTGGTTTTATTAAAAATCTACAAAACATTCCGTCAAAAGTGATTTTATTTGATTGACAGTTTGATGACTAATCGCGCACAAGCGGCGGTCAACAGGCGCGGCGCTGGACGCCACCCTTCGGCAGTATTTTCAGTCTAGCTCCTAATCCACTTTCACGCCCATTATAAAAGTTGGCACCAATGTTCTATACAATATTAGCAATTTATATAAAAAAAATAAAAAAAAACTAAATGGTCTAACTTGGTGAAAATCAAGGAAAAAAACTTAAATTGGTTTTTTTTACGAAAAAAAAATTTTTATTTCTATTCCAAAAACACAGTTAAAAAGCCCAGTAAATAAAGTAGGAAATCCAGTGATTTAGTTATTTTAATATATAATTTTATGAGTCCATAATCGGCTTTGAAGTACTGCATGCCAACTGGTTGTCGAAAACTTCAAAGTCCCATTACTCTTTAACTAGTCAATATATCACAAAAATATTTGGTACACGTATCAATAATAAGTATAAGTAGAACATACTCAAATATTACTGAAATCGGAAACATCGAGTTTTTTAACCTGTCCGCTTCGCGTGGAATGCCCCATTATACAAACTACCACAGACGGGAGCTGTACTATCTATACTTCTATACTAATATTAAAAAGCTGCAGAGTTTGTTTGTTTGTTTGAACGCGCTAATCTCTGGAACTACTGGTCCGATTTGAATGATTCTTTCAGTGTTGGGTATTCCATTTATCGAGGAAGGCTATAGGCTTTATTTTTTTCTTTCAAAATTAGGGATTCGTAATAAAATAGCTATTTGGTAACACAAGGTGTAAAATCGAAAACCTATTTTTGCGTGCGCTGCAAAAACTATTGACAATAGAACAAAATGATGTACTACGGGTTTGTAGATCCCATTAAGACCTACAAAAAAGTCTGCGAGAACATATATCTAGCTATCGTGGTTTAATCACAATAACCGATTTTGTGTTCAAAATAATTATTACATCGTCTGAAGAAAAAAAACTACGTTAAATATGTATCGTAATATTAATATTTATCGAAATTAAGCATTATGTTATCAAAGGTATTTATGTAGAAGTAAAATACTTTTTGTTTCATCTCAATCGGATATTTCGTTTAAAAGTTATCGCGTGTGTAAGATGTTAAGAGTTGGTACCTATTAATGAGTTATGGGCCATAGAGTTTTTTATTAACATAAAATCCTGTAATAATCTTTTTCGAAATATATTTGTTGATGATTGTAAGTATAAGTTCTTTGAAGAGTATAATAAATATATTTCTAAAATAACTCTGCTAAGGAAATCCACGCGCGCTTGATTGCATATTTTATCTCAGTATTTCCACGGAAACGAGAAAAACGCGGGTGAAACCGCGGGGCACGGCTATAATATATATTTTGGCAGGCGTTCGGTGAAAAATGAAACATACCGTATCATAAAAATATATCAAAATATATTTTGATATATTAATATACCAAAATATACACTAATATGCCAAAATATATCTGTCGACATATTTTGGTGACGTCATAGAAATATATATTATAGCTACGTCTGTGACGGGCTTAATTGAGGGTTGTTAAGCAGAAACCAACATGCAAGCAATTTTGAAGCATGCAAAAATTCTAATGATGATATAATCCTAATTTTTGCTAGCTTCAAAAATGCTGAACATTGCTTAATTATCATCATTTATTATGAAGTTTCTCAAGTAAAAATATATAGGTTTTCTTATTTTTACTGTTTACAATTTTGTCACATAAATACTATTTAAACATTACATTTCAATTATTTAAAATTAGTTTATCTTCCCAATACTTTCAATGGAATCCTTTTTTTTTAGAATGGCGACATGTTGTTTTGCCTGCAATGCCACTGTGGGCAAGGCTATAAATATATTTGGTAATGAGGTGAGTATTTTTTATGTGTAATATATTACATTAAGAATCCGTTCCGGACACATCCGATTAAATAAGTTTGCTCACATGAGGTGAAAGGTCGAATCACCTAATTGTGCTGAATGCGATATGATATGATCGAGGATGTTCATTATATATTGATGGAATTTGTACGAAACAAGCCACTTTATGAAGGTTTGATTATGAAAGTCTGATTGTAACAATTTTAGGATGATAGGAACATGTAATAGGGCTTTTGCATCTCCTCTGTCAAGGGAAACCAAAGCTCTTTATCAGTTAGTTCAGCAGGGCCTGAGAATGAGATAACAACTTCGCCTTTGTTTTTTATTTAGTATTTTTATCTTTGTTATCTGTATATGTCTGTAGAGCGACATCGTCGATGTAAAACAACAAAGCTCTTTAATAAAGATTAAAAAAAACTAAGAGACAAACTTCTTAGCAATCCATGGATTCACCGTGCGGTTGCCGGGTCCATCGTGTGGGAGAGAGAGAAACACTGAGCAGTTCTCGGGACTTGACCTGAAAATTTACCCTTCGTTTGGATTCATGGAGCATTCGGATTATAGTTACTACATAGAATTTACAGCGTATTTTTTATGAAATAAAACGAATACTATTGTGAAATTTCAAATGTACCTATAATCATCTAGGTATAAACATTAGTTAAACTTTTTTAAAGTAATCCATTATTTTAGTTTGTCCGGGAGTATTTAATGACAAACATTTCTTGTCACGCAATTTACATGTACTTAAAAGCATTTTTTTGGCAAAGAAATGTAGCGGTTGTGGGACGTTAGGATTACAGATGTGGTCGAATTAGTTTATTAGGAAAGGTGTCTGGCACTGAAACTTAGTCATAAATACTATTCAATGTTTAAAACTAACCCCCCCAAAAGATGAATCAGCTTGGACTAGTCATATACCTACAGTTTTGTCCTCATCACTTCATAACTAGGGTTGCCACCTTCTGTGATGGCGAATAAAGAATTTTTTCACTTTGTTACAACAAAATTAAGGTACGCAGCATAAAAATAAGACTTCTTTTCATTATTTGCCCTTGAAACCTTATTTTTTGTTGCTCCTTGTAAATACAGTATTTTAGCGTACTGTATTGGCGTCTTAGATCATAAAGAACCTAGGCTTACGTGAAAAAGAGGACAATACTCTAATTACCCTTATCATAACAGAGACAAAACACTGCATTATTACTATGTAAGCTAACTCTTCGTTAATTAATTAATGAGGGAGTTAGAGTCATCATCACCTCATCATCTTCAGCCTATCAATGTCCCCACTACTGGGGAACGGGTCTTCCGTGTGGATGGAATAGGGAGATTGGTTTATGACCACCACGCGGGCCCAGTTCGGATTGGTGGGTGCTAACGACTGCAGATGCAGTCGGGATAACGGCTTAACGAGCTTTCTGAAGCACGGGGGAGCTCGAGGTAGAAGATTTTTGCTCACCCAACCGATGACCGACCACTGCAAAAGTTGCTTATCTTCAACGATCGTAGCCGAATGCGCTAACTACCACCATCGAGCTCCACTTGTTTTTATTATTTATGACATTTTCTTTCGATTTCATCAGACTCCTTATATAAGTTGTATAAGCTAATTCTTCTTTAATGAACATGGGAATATCAGTACAGTTGACAGTATACGTACAGTAAATAACAGTATCTAATTTTAATCACTTACCTTTACAGTGTCCGCTTCAGTCAAGATTGAATATTAGCGAGGTTCTGAGCGAACTCGTCGATAAACCTTTAATGAAGGCCACTTCTCACAGTCAAGTACTATGCAGGAAATGTTATGCTACAATCAGTGAATATGACTCATTGAAAATAAGGTATTAAGTATTTTTAACACATTTGCTCAAAAAACATTTATGGTGGTTGTATTTATGTGGTATACATTGTTCGAAAGTTCAAAATTACGGGCCATACAACGGTAAAACATTTTACCGCACGTTCCCATACATGGCATCGTGCGTGTTCTTTACGGTTTTTTTAATTGCGGACGAACCTCTGGTAGAGTCTGTGCGGAAAGAGAATGGGATTTAGATTGGAGGGCGCTGTAGTGCTTTGCTACCGTATTTGTAAGGTTTTACCCCTTTTAGACATGATTAAATACAAAAAACCGCAAGAAATCACAACAACAAACAAATCCGTATCAATACAAAACTATGACGTTTTACAGATTGCTGGGTTTGATTGCCAAATAAAAATCTTAATGTTAGTTCCGTTTTTCGCCACGCCTATTCTCTTTCCGCACAGACTAGCGTTTTTCATCTATACCTTTGTCTGAGACGAAAGATATAGTTCAAATTTTCACCATCCGCACGTGGCGCCATTTGAAAATGTTCGCCATTTGCTTGTTAGAAAAAGTTGGCTTCATTAGTAAAATTAGTTTTTATTTTCTCGCAAATGTGCGAGAAAAACTTTGTATGCCATTCGTGCGGAATTTGTATTTACTATTCACTAGATGGATTTTTAACGCAATAAAATAGCAAATACCTACTCGCTATCTGTTTTAATCTAAAGTATTCACAATTTTATTATAATAAATTAATACATTGACATAATGTTATGACCGAGATACTTATAGAAATGTTAATAATAATGAAATATGCATTAAATTCAATATTATACTTATGAATACATTTTAATTATTATATAATTTCATCAACTTAATTTTGCAATACCCTTACAGGGTCATGTACTATAACTAAGAATATACGAGTATGAAACATCTGTTTACTTTTGTACATGATAGCAAATAAATAAACTTATGACTATGATAAACCCTCGAAGTCGTCTACTGGTTTGTAATAACCAACATACCGCACTAATGTAATAAATTCATAAACAATTATTGTTTAATCATCACCAGCCCATACACTGCAGAGGCACAGGCCTTCCCTATGTATAGAATAGGCATATTGGGCCATGAATGACCCACCACGCGGGCTCAGTGCGGGTTGGTGGGTATAACGTACCTTCCGAAGTACGGAGGATCTCGAGATAATAAGATTTTGGGCACCCATCCAACGACCGACCATTGCAAAAGTTACTCAACTTTCACAACCACCTGCGCGACCACGAGCTACCCTTTTATCTTGTCTTAAATATTTATTATTGAAGACATTTTCTCTCATAATCGTAGTTTTCAGATTACAAGTGATAAAAACGGAATTTTTGGACGAATGGAAGAAAGTTTTACTGCTACAAAACCTCAGCTATGACACGTATGGTGTTTCTCCTCTTCCCAACTGCGTCACAAGAAAGGTAAAATTACAAAATTGAATTTTATAAATTATTATACCTACCTATTTTATATTTTTAAGCATTTAACTGCTAGATGTGTAAACTTAAGATATAGTTATTAGTAGAAAAAACATCCCGCGTTAAAGGGAATGGAAATATGTCAGCTTTTCTCTTTAGAAGATTAGACTAGATTATCTTCTGTTTGTGATCAATCGTAAAGCATCATTCTTTTTCGTCTTTGGCTCAAATAAAGTTATTTTTTTTTTAAATAAAACAATTATTCCAACGGGTTTAAAATGTGAAAAGTCGAGTTATGTAAAAAATATTACAAACTTATTTAAACCGGTTGGAATAATTATTTTAATTTATTTATTTGCGTGATGACTTGAAACAAATGTTGTTTTTTATTTAGAAGGTGGTGTTGCCAGCGTCGAAACTTCAACCGGTACCCCCCAATTATCTGCTGGATATCGGAAAAATAGCGACTGTGTCGAAACCAAACCTATCTAGTGCTAATACGGGTGTTTTTCCACAAGCTATGGTGAAGGTAAGCCAAATATCTAATATATATATATATACTAGTGGCCGCCCGCGACTTCGTACGCGTGGTGTTGGATAGAAATAACGGTTCACTGCTCGTTCCTCGTAGGTGATAGCGTGATAATATATAGCCTATATGTTGACCCGATTTCTTAATAATATCCGTGCCAAATTTGGAGTGAATCCATGCAGTACTTTTTGTGTTTATCCCGGACATGCATACAGACAAACAGACAAAAATTCTAAAAACTATATTTTTACCTTCGGTATCGAAAAAAATATTTAATGTACAGTTTTGGCTTTCCTACCATTTTATTATATGTATAGATAATATCTCTCATCATCTTCATCCTATTAATGTCCCCAGGGCTGGGGCACAGGCCTTCTCTAAGGATGGAATAAGGAGATTAGGCCATGACACACCACGCGAGCCTAGTGCGGATTGGTAGGTGCTAACGACTGCAGATGCAGCCAGGTTTATCGTGCCTTCCGAAGCACGGAGAAGCTCGAGATAATAAGCTTTCGGTCACCCATCTAATCACTGACTACTGCGAAAGTTGCTTAACTTCAACGATCGCAGCAGAAATCGCTAACCACTTGGGCCATCGAACACCTATATAAATAACCATTTGTAAAAAAAAAAAAATACACATATACGAATTTCATTATTTATGCAACCATTAGTAAAGGGAACAAATTAAATTTTGTTATTTCTATTCTTACAGACAACTGTTACTAAACCTGCTGTAAACCTAGTAGTCACAGTGGGATCAACCGTTCTAACACAAACTTTAAATTCTGCGGTCACAACAAGTCAATCTAAAATCACATTATCACCCAGCAATGTTGTCTCATCACCACAAAAGTCAGATTACAGCATCACTGATAAAATGATATCATCATTGGTGTCAACAAATAGGAGTCAAGCGAAGAAGAAACCGTATTTGAGTTTCAACGTTAACTCGTTGCCGAAGGATCTGCTGTCATCTGCTAGTGGCAATATAGCTGTTAAAAATGAAGATGCAAATAATGATGACCAAGCTATGGAGATTGATGAAGGTATGTTAAGCTTGTAAAATAAACTATAGGTACTAAATTGAATTTTCTTTGAATGTATGTCCATAGTCTACATTATCACCATATAATAGAGAAAGTTACTTAGACAATAAATATCAGGTCTCTGTAAGTAAGTTTTCAAAAAATTTGCTCAAAAAGTAAGTTTTATAGACATCTACTGAAAAAAGCATTGACTTTGTGGTTGTATACATTGTTCGAAAGTTCAAAATTAGGGGCCATGCAACTGAGCGTGCGGTAAAACATTTTACCGCACGTTCCTGTACGTGGCGCCGTGTGTATCCTTTACGGTTTCTTTTTTATTTCTATCGAACCTCCTTGGAAGCGCTTTTCAATCTATGTCTAAAAGCTATTTTCTTATTAGAAAAGTTTTCTGCATTACTTAAAAATTCCAACATAGTTGGAATGAAAGAGGTTTCGGTTTTTATCTGTTGGTATTTAATATTATTTTCTGTTATTGTTTGTAGATTGCACATTAGCAGTAGCCGTAACGGCAGATGACAATGGAAAACTTATGTTCGACTCGAGTCCTATGAAGGTAAGATTAAGTACTACAAAAAGCTGGATCTTATTGAATTTGTATTGTCAATTAGAAAGTTAATTTCATTTGCCTTCCCAAATCATGGAACACTAAAAAATTAAACAAAATTATTGCAGATGTGTAAAGAAAATATCGAGCCGAACGAATCGAGGAGCTCGATGGCGCGATGGTTAGTGCGTTCGGCTGCGATCGTTGGAGTTAAGCAACTTTCGCAGTGGTCGGTCATTGGATGGGTGACCAAAAATCTTCTATCTCGAGCTCCTCCGTGCTTCGGAAGGCACGCTAAGCCGTTGGTCCCGGCTGCATCTGCAGTCGTTAGCACTCGCCAATCCGCACTGGGCCCGCGTGGTGGGTCATGGCCCAATCTCCCTATTCCATCCATAGGGAAGGCCTGTGCCCCAGCAGTGGGGACATGAATAGGCTTATGATGATGATGATGAAAATTGAACTTCAAACATATTTTTAACTTATATTCTTTTATAACTTATGATTAGAGATTGGATAATCGAATGTTTACCTAAAGTTGCGATGTTGGCTATTATGGAAAAAAAAATGTTCCTTTATTTAATGAGTGATGTGCGTGAAAACCTAAGAAACAAATATAGTAAACTTTTCTTTAGATTAACGTGGAATTTTTTCTAGTAAAATTTGCTTTAGATTTACGTGTAATTGTTTTCTAGTAAACTTTTCTTTAGATTTAAAAATGTAGCAGTTGAATGCTTTAAAAAATAAAAACATAACAAACATTTACTATTTCAGAACAAATCCATCGATATAAAACCCAAGTCCAACTTCTTTGACGTTGGTCTGTTGCTGTCTCAAGACGGTAGTGTAGAGAATGAAAAGGACGAAAAATTTATACTGGACAAACTGAAAATACTCAACGAAGCCGATAATGATGAGGATGAAAATGGTATGTGATAATGTTCTTAAGCTCAATTGCAGCAAATCCGCTAAATCTCGATTCAACTAAAACTAGATGTAACCCATAGAAAAATGACAAAATGTCAATTTGATATCATTTTATTGAGCTATATCTTTAGATTTAATTAAATTGAGATTTAGAAAAGTAGCTGGAAGTGGACCTTCGTCTGTTACTTTAGTAAATGAAATACGGAAACTTTCCTATAAAAGAACTTTCAGTAAAAAATCATCTGGAGGATATTTTTCCAGGATAAAAAGTATTCTACAAGGTTTTTTTGTATGTCTCAATCCAGGTCATAAACTATATACAGAAAACCCGTTTATGACGATTTCACAGGGACTCAACCAAAAACGCGTCTTAAGCGGGATAGGAAAATTTCGAATGTAGGTACGTTATAAAAAATTGTGTATTAATATTACGTTCGTATTAAATTAATCACTTATTTAGTTTGACAAAAAGATTTAAAGGCATTAGCAATTACAAAATATTCATGTAAATAAACTTTTGCAGTGCGTCTTTGCTTTGATTCAAAGAAGTCACATAGCGTCTTAAATCATTAACTGCTGATAATGCCTGGGCGTGTGACAAAATCGGAGTTGATTCATCTTTTTCTCAATCATAGGGAAGATGCATATATGATATATACGAAAATTTTATGATTAAAATGTTAAAAAAATATAAAAGAAATGCCACTGCAACGTTTTTATTTTACATAATGTTGTTTTTTAACAATTATTACGAATTAAAAATACTTGAAACAGAACGTATTTTAAAACACCAATCAGCGTTTAGTGACGTCACTCCTGTTATGACAACTTCTCTGAGGTTATGGTTGTTAAAGTAAATATTATTTTAGGGGAATATTATTTGCGTTCTTTTACATTTAATAAAAATGGAAGTTGCGTTTATCAAAGCAGACTCCAGGAATTTACCAAGAGTTAGTGTTGACATGGTTATAACTTTTTTGTCCAAAGTGCAGAGTTTTTAAGTGTAGAAATGAAAGGGACTAAATTACTACGGTATGTAAAAATCGTAGTTGGTAAACTTCGTATTTTATTCAGCGGCTTCTACAAATCTTACGGCGATAATGCAATCGGCTATGTCCAAATTAAAAGAGATGGAGAATTATGTAAAAGTACGTAAAGAAGGTTATCGTGTTACAGTTATTTAAAATGAAACGCAAAGCTTGGTTCAGTCCTGCCAATGTGAAGATTGTGCCACACATTTTAAAGTTTATCTAATTTTCGACGTCATTCTCCAACTGTAAAATTAAAAATATGTTATAGACAGGTTTTGTAAGTATTAGGTAGGTTACTAATGCGTTTTTACGTACAAGCAGATTTTAAAAGCATATAACAAGTATATTCGCCGACTTACGTCAAAGTGATCTTCACAGCATCGAATAATGGTCTTTAGAGAATAATTGTCATTTCTCTTCGCAGCTTGAAACCACTTTTTTCAGTTTTGGATCAGAAGTTCCAGTCAAAAACAATTTATTTGGAAACTTTGTTGAAGTAGATTGGCACAAAACATGAGTCAACACGGCTTTTTTTCGGAATATTAGTGGTATTGTTATGATCACATGATGTTGATGGATAGTCCATTTTAAATTTTTCAAAAAAATATTTCGAAAGTCGAAAAATTATGCAAAAGTATGAAAATTTAAAGCCAGCGACGAACAAGTACGACCAGTGACAAACAGGAGTGACGTCATCGCAACCATAGGTTCGTTTTCGCGCGAAAATTTAAATTGTCAATTTAAAACCGCATTATTTCCGATAAATCCACGATAAATCACAATGTTTTGAATTTTTAATATATCTGTGGTTTATTCTACATTGAATTCTTTAAAATGAAAACAAAAATAAAAATATTGCATCTTCCCTATTATCACTTAGGGCCTCTTCTTGTGTGTTATTCACATTCTCAATAAGACCTTGATTTGATTAAATTTGGTACGGTGTCACATTGTCATCAATGGAAGAACGTCAATCGCAAGAGGTAATATGTGTGGTACGTGTTGGCGATTTACGCGTATTAAACGGGATGACGAATCGTATTAAGCGTTAAGAAATGTATGAAAATATGTCTCAAGTTGCAGGGACTGACGCAATGGCGTATTATGCGGGAAATCGTATTAAGCGGGTTCTACTGTATGTACCAAATTTTATCGAAATCCGTTCAGCCGTTTTTCGCGTGATTGACAAACACTAACTTAAAACGTTATTACAGTTTTAATATTAGTAGGATTTGTGTTGTTTGTCCCAATAGAAAGTAGATTATAAAAATCCTGCTCTATGAAAATATAAAAAAAACATGAAACTCATAGACAAAATTTACTTAATATTTTTAGGATTACTAGCGGCCGCCCGCGACTTCGTCCGCGTTAACCTTTAGTTTTTTTTCTAGAAATAAAGTTTTTTCTGAAATAAAAGTAGCCTAAGTTATTCCTTATTACATTAGCTACCTGCCAATAAAAGTCAGAATCGGTCCAGTCATTTCAGAGATTAGCCGGAACAAACGGACAAACAGCAAGTCAGATAAAAATTGTAAAAAATGTTATTTTGGTGTATGTACCGTATATATATTCATATTCATGTAGTAAAAAGCGGTTATTTCAATGTTACAAACACAGACACTCATCTGTTTTTTTTTTTGTATAGATGTAATGTTTGTCTCTTTCTATCGTTACAGATACTATAGTGATGGAAGATGGCGAAAGGGCTACGATTATACGAGTGGGAGTCCAAAGAGTTATGTTCGATGGAAAAAAGATATCTCTGGTCCAGAACTCGGACAACGAGACGAACGACAATGACGACAATTTGGGTAAATATATTTGTGGTTTTTTTATCTTGATAATGGAGAACTTATGTTCGACTCGAGCCCTGTGAAGGTAAGAAGTTTGTCTCATAAATAATACATTGGAAAGTTAATATCATCTTGTTTTTTTTGTTAAGCATTTTATTGCTAGATTTGTCTTCAAATCATGGTTCACTTGAATAGGGTATTTGACAGTATTAAAAATAAAGTGCCAATTGTTAGCATCTGTGTTTAGAATGAATATTGGCAGGGGTTTTTACAATTTTTACAAAAAAGAATATTCATAATTTTACTAAAAACCCATGAAAATATAATATGCCCTTCTTTTAAGTTTGGCTCACTTTTTCCTCAAATTAACACGGGTGAAACCGCAGCGGACCTTTATTTGTTGTGACATAACTGTAATAGTTAGTAGATAGACTTTCGCAGTGGTCGGTCATTGGATGGGTGACCAAAAATCTTCTATCTCGAGTTCCTCCGTGCTTCGGAAGGCACGTTAAGCCGTTGGTCCCGGCTGCATCTGCAGTCGATAGCACCCGCGTGGTGGATCATGGATCCCATCCATAGAGGGGCCTCTGCCCCAGCAGTGGGAACATTAATAGGCTGATGATGTAATAGACTAATGGTGTCGCGGACTTTTTTGTAGATATTGATGTCCTCTATAAAACTTTACTACATCACTTTGCTCTACTATCAATTCTTCTTCGACAAGCGATATAAGGTTATTCTTTGGTATTTTTTTCACACCCTGGGTTACGTTATCGAAATTTCATACGGAACCCTAACTTTTTGAATATACTCTATAGCCTATGTTTATCAAGGATAATATAGGATTCTAAATGTGAAAGAATTTTTCTAATCGGTCATTAGACCGAAACTATTAAGTTTCGGAGCCTATTCAGTACAAACAAAGAAACTAGACTAGTGGTGTGACGTAATAATATGGCTACTACGTCTACTATTTCATCGTGTTTTAAAACAGATTAAAAATCTGAAAACTTTAAATTGAATTTTAAAATGTATTTTGACATTTTATAAACTTATTTATATCCGACTCCTTCTTGCCTAAACAATCGCAATAATATGCTTTTAGATCTTTTCTCAAGTAAAGGTTATTTGACAGTTAAAAAAAATACCCTATTGGTATTTTTTTTTAACTGTCAAATAACCCATTTTATTTGTTTCAGATTCAAATGACGAGTCTCAGATCGAATTGCAAGTGTCCGGTGATGAGGACATAGCAAACGCTCTCATAAACGCTGCCAGGGAACAAGGTAATAAAGAAATATTAAGAATACTAGCGGCCGCCCGCGACGTCGTATGCGTGGAGTTAGTTATTTGCACATACTTTTTGACCCCAAAAGGACTTCTAAATTATATAATTTCTACTTCTAAACATACATTATTAGTACACCTCTGCACCATATATAGAGCATACATGTTAAATTTCAAGTCATTTACTTCAAAAACAAGACTTTCATACAAACTTCCAACCCCCGTATTATCCCCTTAGGGGTGGAGTTTCGTGATAATATGTAGCCTATAAATGTTGACCCGACTTCTTAATAATATTCGTGCCAAATTTGAAGTATATCCATGCTGTAGTTTTTGAGTTTATCCCGGACATACATACAGACAAACAGACAAAAATTCTAAAAACTATATTTTTGGCTTCGGTATCGATTGTAGATCACACCCCAAGTATTCTTTTAAAAAAAATATTCAATGTACAGTTTGACTTTCCTACCATTTTGTTATATGTATAGATTTCAAGCGCACCAGGCAGCAGACGGGACTCGAACCCGCAACCTCCGCTATCCGATCCGTGCGGAGGCACTGACCATTATGCATTATATATACAGATAGACAGACAGACAACCTCTGTAATCCTCTAAGGATTCCGTTTATCGCACTTGCACACAGACACAGGCACATTTTTTGCGGGCGTTAGCGCCACAGTAGCGCGCCGCGCTATACATTGCGTACTGGAAGTGTCACAGTATTAATTACCATACTCCTCCGAAACGGCCTGACTTTTATGAAATTTTATATGCATATTCCGTGGGTCTGTGAATCGGCTACTATCTATTTTTCATATCCTTAAGTGATAATGGTTGTCCACCTGTAACGGAGGGTTTTAAAATCTGCACTGCGCCTTCGCGCCAAAATTCAAACTATTGGGTATTGTAACGTAGTGTTCTCATATGGGTTAGGAGGAATGTTATCCCAGGAAATTGATAGAACACTACGTTACACACCCCTAAAATATTTTTTGGACAATATTTATTTTTTTATAATGTGGTATTAAAAAGTACATACAATACTAAATTTTCTCTTCTACCACCTGCCCCTATTTTTATGGCGGTACGAAGTTCGCTGGGTCAGCTAGTATTTTGTAATATTACTTGTTTGGGTGTACAGAATACGTAGTTTTAGTCTTTCTCACAAGATTTTTTACACCTTGTATACTATGTTTAGGTGGAGCATTCATAAAAGTCGAGTCCGGGGAAATGTACAGAGTGGAAACTGTGCAGAGTCAAGTTAAAGAAGAAACAGACACAGAAACATCTCATGTGAGTAAATTAATAATAAAATATAATAACCTTACAATAATCATTTGATGCTTAGTACATTAAAAGGCATTGGTATAAATTTTTTTGATTAAAGTTTTTTTTTGTTAAATTACAATGTAAACTCAACGACAATAACGGAATTGTACATTTTATGGCGTTATAGAGAATTGTCGTTAAATGGAAAGAAGAAAAATCAGAATTATTAAAAGAAAAAGTTTTTCAAGCTAGTAGTTATATGTACATAAAAAAAACTTATTTGAACGCTATATTCTGTTATTTTTGTCTGTCGTCATTTGCTGCACCAGTATTAAGTCTCCTTATTAGTCATGGTCAACAACAGTCTACACGTGCAATCCCAATTTGTAAACAAAAGAACGAATTTATTAAAAAGGTTTGCATGATGCCGGCAGTCGAGTTGATTACGGGCTAGGATAATAAAGCGACAAAAGAACGTACACAGCTGCACGATTTTCACTAATTTTGGCAAATTAAAAGGTACTTTTTATAACTTAATAGGCATGATCACGGGGTAACGTAAACGAAATTTTATTTAGTCCGTCAGTTAGATGATCAAAAAATAATGGACACGTATTTTTTCTTTGGGCAATCAACCAAAAAATGACAAAGTTATAGCGCGTCAAAGTTTGGGAGTAACGGCTCGTGACGTCACTTTTAAGTGAAATTGTACCAAAACGTGACGTCATGCTACTTTTCAAATCAATATATCTCTGCAATGTTTATATCAAGTCATGTCTCAAGTGCACCCGAAAACAGCCTAACGACTAAATGTAGATATAAAGGATAGCTAAACGAAGAGAAAGTTGAAGTATGCCAAATGTAATAGGGATTTGACGACGATCTCACGTTATTTAATAATGTTTATGGAGTCCATAAGAAGTGGATATTTTTAATTCTGTTGCGTAATTCAGTAAAGAAAATAGGCGAGATAACGTTTCTCTAGACAATATGGCGTCTCACTAGTGTGTGTGTCACACGACTGTCATTATAAAACGTCAAACGATACAATGAAATTTCACTTTGGCTGTAAGTTTACTAGCGCGTAATGTCATTTTAGTCTTGGCCAATCCCAGGCGTCTTCGGTCACGTGACCATGCAAAAAAAAAACTATTTAATGATTCTATAGAAAAGTTATTAAGTTTTATTTCTTTCAGAATAGTAAAATCGCTGCTAATATTCATATTAAACACAGATGTCAACAATGGGTACATTATTTTTCATACTGTCAAATAGCCTTTTGCGTCATTAGGTGCGAAAGCATAATAAACAAACAAATTCACATTACTATTTTACATACTATTTCAGTCTAAAGAAAAGTTTACTAGAAAAAAAATCCACGCGGACCAGGCAGCAGACAGGACTCGAATTTTTTTCTAGCGAACTTTTCTTTAGATTTAAACATCTAGCAGTTAAATGTTTTAAAAATAAAAACATACTATTTCAGCTTCAGAATATCGTGGAGAGAGAAAGCGACGGCCTGTACAAATGTCTGCTTTGCACGATGAATATTAACAGAAGTAAGAATATATTTATGTTGTTTTATACACACCGTGAATTTTGAGTTACCTGAGAAACTTGAAAATCGTTAAATTAAAACAAATATCGAACAGCTATGAACAGTAAATGTTCAACACACCCCCTTACAAAAGAAAATACTTATGTTGTTTACAAAATATCTTAAAACGGCGCAAATTTGTTATAACAAATCTTTTATGGATTTATTTATTCGTTTAAAGTACGTAGATCCTAAAAGTAGTTTTATTTATATGAATTTTTGACAGTAAAAATTGTAAAGTTTTCATAATTATTGTACTTTTCGTGAGTTGACGTGGAGACTTTTTACGAAAATCATTTTTCTTTGTATCACTAAAAAATTAAATATTTTTTAATAAAAATAGAAAACTTCAGAAAACGGAAAAAAAAGTTTTATGACTGATTTATTTGAAGTCAATACCATTACTACTATCATAATCTTCCTGCTTAACACATGGCTTGGTATCAATTTCAAATATATCAGTCGCTAAATCTTATTTTTTATTTTCAGTTGTTTTAATTCGATTTTACACTTCTTATTTCTATTTAAAAAAAATCCTTTTGTTTCCTTAGCAGAAGCAGTGAAAGGCGACGCAGAGTCCATAATGTCTCATTTAAAGTCAGAACACACCGCTCGAGCGTATATATGTTTGGTTTGTGGAATAGTTATAAGGAAGAAAACGGAATATACTACTCATATTGGTGAGTATATTAACTATATTTATCTAGGCAGCAGACGGGACTCGAACCCGCTATTTATGTGGATGCATTGACTTATGCTACCCCGACCTTAATAATCATAATAATAAAGATTTATTTCAGGCACAATAACCCATATTAAAAATTACAATTACCATTGCAATTTGTCCAATCTTATTCATAATTTACTAATTCTTAATTTAATGGCCGTGTCGAATTTCGTTTAGTATTTCTTAGGCTGCAAGACAGCGCCATCTCTTCGCATTGTAGGTAAATCACAACGTCAAACCTTTGCAAGTATTAAACATTTGAAAGAAGAAATAGCAATTGTAGTTTATAATATTTATTTTGTCTCGCCTATAAACTATATTTATCCTATTAATGCGAAACTGTGTCTGTCTGTCTGTTACCCCTTCACGCTTAAAGCGCTGAACGTATTCGGATGAAATTAGATACGCCTTTAGTTTATGAACTGGATTGAGACTAAGGAAACTTTTTATTCCGAGAAAAATGACAGATTCCTGTCGGTTTCTCCAATTATCTAAATATACGCGGATGAAGTCGCGGGCGGCCGCTAGTTAACTTTATTTGTTATTAGTATTTTTAATGCGAACTTTATCTGTCTGTCAGTGACGTCTTCACGCTTAAACCGCTGGACCGATTGACTTGAAATTTTATACACAGCATAGAGATAGTTTGAGTCACAGGAAAGGGCAAGGGTAATCATTTTTATTCTATATTATTATGGTGGAAGTCCATATGGAAACCAATTTTTAACGCAGACGTTGCGGGCGTATATTAATATAATAATATTCAATTTACTGTATTAGACGATTACTTAAAGATAATTTCTAGAGACTTCTGTTTTGGTATAACACCCAATCATTTATATTCATTTATTTTATTATAAACGCATTCTTCTTCATACAAAAGAAACATCTTAAAATAAGGTTTTTTTAAACCTTTATTTAAGACACAGTATAATGTATTTCCTATTGGTAAATAAAACTTATCGCCTCACCTCTACTTACTTAAAAAACATAAATAAAATGTACTTTTCAGAGAACCACGCATCTCGAGACAAAACTTTGATAAACAAATCTAAACTACACGAGTGTACAGTATGCAAGAAGAAATACATTTCGCGGAGTATACTCAACGAGCACATGAATGTTCACGCTGGAACGAGACCTTACACTTGTGCTGTTTGTGGGAAGACTTTTGCTTCTAAATATACCCACCAGGCGCATCTTAAAACGCATTCGGTAAGTAAAGAAAAGGGCCAAAATGATGTCTTTTGGAACTCCAAAAAGTTGCATTTGTTAAGTGAAGTAAAGGACCCAAGTGATACCTTGTGGAACTCCAAAAAGTTGCATTATTTTGGTAAGTTATGTAAAGGACCTAAGTAAGACCTTGTGGAACTCCAAAAAGTTGCATTTGGCAAGTAAGGTAACGGACCCAAGTGATGCCTGGAATTCTAAATGTTGTCACCAAGCGCATTTTAAAATTCTATTATAAGTAAAGTAAAGGCGCAAAATATCGCCTTTTGAGACTCCAAAAAGTGGGAAGGAATATGACGGGAATTCTAAATTCCAATAACCATTAGCTTTACGGCGCTGTTGTAGTGAAACTCGCGTTAATGACAATGTTCTTTTTTGAAATCCATACAATATACCAAAATATAGCAGTGAAAATATGGCTGTCTGATGAGTAATTAAGCCCTTGGCGCGGAAGGGATTTAAAAGGCGAAAGAGTGGTTGGATGTTGTACGAAATTTAGTAGAGTGCGATTCAACTAAGAATAGGACCGACTGGGCGCCATATTGTGACGTCATAGCTGTCAATTCAAACCAGTTGGGTAGAGTGAGCAAAAAAGTTTTTCTTCAATAAGTCTTAATCTTGTTAAGTGAGTTTTTTTTTTAATATTTTTTTATTAAGACTGAGTGAGAAATAACATTTAGCAGAATCTAGCTCTTTAATTCCGCTCATCTCTGCATTACCGTCGGAGTAGTCATCATCATCACTGATGCTTTCGGCTACAAAGTAAAATATAGATTATTGTAGGTATTAAAACGACAACTTATTTAAAATAAAAATGGTCTTTTTATTACCTGTATTTATAATAAAACTAAAGTTCTTATATTCCCCTTTTCCAGTACTCATTATCTAAACGTTTTATATGTTTTATTTCCTTCTTTTGTTTACAAATGTTTGGTATTTATTCTAAGATTAGCTCTTTGCTAAAAAAGTTTTCCAAGATTTTTTGCAAACCATATCTTACAAGCGACTTTTGACAGATGAATAAATAAATAAATAAATATTTCCAAGACTCACACCAATTAGACTAGCCCCAAAGTAAGCACTGTAAGGCTTGTGATATGGGATACCAGGGTAACGGATAGAATACATATACTGTACATATATAAGCATATTTATATAGAAATACATATTAAACATCCATCACTGCAGTACAAATGCTCGTATTTATCACACAAACATCTGCCCCCACCGGGATTCGAACCCGGGACCTCTCGAGTCGGTAACACCATGAAACCTGACGTACGAACGACTCGGCCACGGAGGTCGACAAATGAAGGTCATTGGCTTTCCTATTCTTATTTGAATCGCATAGTACAACATCCAAGGAGGTGTTATAATGCCTTTATTATTATTATTATGAGATTGGATATTTAAATGTTGGCAATAAGCTAACTGTTATTGAATCTTTCATAAAGATTTTAAAGCGTGGGTGTAAAAAAAAATTACAATAGATTGTTAATTTGTCAACAGTCAAGACCGCGTCCGTTCAAATGCAAGCAATGCAACAAGACATTCTTCACGCAGCAAAATCTCAATCAACACGAGAAAACGCACTCCGGCCTCAAAGAATTCATCTGCACCATATGCAGTGAGTATATTCACTTAAAATAACTTGCTATTTAGGGTTCCGTACCTCAAAAGGAAAAAACGGAACCCTTATAGGATCACTGATGAAACCAACACGAGCCGGTCAACTACCGACGTTCGCCCCAACGTTGGGGCCAATGCCATTTTCTAGATCCACACGTTGGACGAATGGTGTTGGGGTGAATGTTGGGGCCAACGTGTGGAGCCGGCCTAAGTGGTTAAAGGCCAATAAATTACATCCTTTGTTTCTACTGTATTTTCATTCAAAAATTAAATTTTAACACCCTCCATTGGTTTTGGCTCCAGATAAAGCATTCGCCACCCAACATAACCTGGAAGTCCACGGCGTGATCCACTCGGGCCAGAAGCCCTACCCGTGCACCGTGTGCCCTAAGGCCTTCGCCAGGAGGGCCGAGCTGCGGGACCATATGCGGATACATACTGGTGAGGGGGGGGGGGGGGGGGGGGATTCACATATTTATGACGCGGATTTAAGGGTGACGGTATACAGGGCGTCCTACGGGTATGTCACACGGAGGGAAAGTATAAAGTTGTTTCACATTTCACGAGCTTCATTTTCGGTTTTGGCAGGCGATTTTTTAACTCTGAATGCAGTTCTAGTTTTTATATATAAAAATTGCTTGCTCTTCGTTAGTCTCGCTAAAACTCGATAACGGCTGAACGGATTTATCTTATCTTGGTCTTGAAATGTTCGTGGAGGTCTAGGGAAGGTTTAAAAGGTGAGAATAATTCGATTTCTACACTACAGCTCTACACCGAAGCGAAGCAAGGACGGGCCACTAGTAATTATTAAAAATAAATAGACGTCTTCTTTTTGTAAAGTATCCTATCTTTAATATTTAAAATACTTTCTCTCCGTGTGACAAACCCGTGGGACGCCCTGTATATAATCATAAGTCTGTCTATATTTAAAATTAAAAGAGACCGTATCGATCTTCAAATTAATGCGACGACACTGGCAACAAAGACGCTTTTTCCATATTGACTTATCACTAAGTTCAGTTTGCTTGGGCGATTGTTGTTGTTATCAAGTGTTTTTGTTTTATTTGAAGTTTTCTTCCTTATAAAGCACTAGCTGTGCCCCGCGGTGTTACCCGCGGTTTATTAGGGATGTTTTCCCGCAGTAAAACGTAGCCTATGTGTTAATCCCGGGTGTTAGCTAACTCCATGCCAAATTTTATTAAAATCGCACCAGCCGATTAGACGTGAAGAAATAACAAACATACACACTCACAAACTTTCGCTTTTATAATATTAGTGTGATGATAAGGACAGACTTTTGTCAAATTTATAAACAATATAAATGAAAAGAATGAATGATTACAGGTGAACGTCCATTCGCGTGCGATATTTGTGGGGCCACATTTACGCAGAGATCGAATCTGCATTCGCACAAGCGAGCCACGCATTTGGACGATAAGAGACATCTGTGCCAGCTGTGCCCCAAGCGGTTTAAGCGACGGAGGTAAGGTGTTTATAGCCATATTATAAAATAACAAAACTTGTAGCAAAAAATACCTAAATAGAAGTTTTTTTTTATAGATTTCATGTAGCTTTAACAATACAATTATAGTTATATATTTTTTTAAGCATTTAACTGCTAGATGTTTATATGTAAAGATAATTTTACTTGAAAAATTTCCACCAGGCAGCAGACTGGACTCGAACCCGCACCCTTCGCTATCCGGGCGAATGCACTGACCATTATGTTGCTCCGGCCGTGATGGCCCTCTCGAATTTTCTCTAGCCTTTCTTAAGCTGCATGGCAGCGCTATGTCTTCGTATTGTTGGTAACTCAGAATGTCAATACAATAACTTTACAAGAATTAAACATTTGATAGAAGAATTCGAATTATTTTATATAAAGATTTTTTTCTAGTAAAATTTTCTGTAGGTATAGTAATCAAAAAAGGTAAGCAACGCGCATTATTTACAGGAACTGTATGGATTTACCGTTTTATATTTATTTTTTCTTAGCAAAGTAGGTTGCTTTAAAATCTTTGTTGTGCTAAAAAATATAGTTGGCTGATTTGAGATAATCAAAATACATAATTTCAGTACATAAAACCCGACTGCAGCCCCACCTGTCGGATAAAGTTTCTATATATTTTCTGATTTTCTGCACTCCTTTTAATTTTTGTTCTCTTAAAGTATTAGAAATAATAAAAAAAAGGTTGTACGTATGCGGTAAAACCGTTGGTAAATTATGGCGTGACCAAGGGAAAAAGGGATTCATTTGTATTTTAAAAAAAATATGACTCATGTCGCGACATAAAGAAATGCATAGCTTGATTACGATTTTATTCAGCACTATTCGGTATACTCCAATTTTATGCCATTTTAATAGTATTCTATCACATCACTAAACATTTTTAGTAAGAAGACGTATATATTGACATTGCATTGTGCTGAGGCAGGGGCCAATTGACCTTATCCTGTGTTTTTATTTTTGCTTTTATTTCTATTTTTCAATGTTATTGGTCAATAAATTATTTCTTTCTCTCTTTATATTCGCCATCTACCGTGCTGCCATTAAATCTGCAATGTCCGTTTTTGCCTGCGACATTCAGTTTTTTTTTAGTTTATTTAGGAAAACAAACTACTGAACAATAATTTTTGGTAGCAATGAAGTTGATATAAACTTACTAATTGTACAATCAACACCGTTATCCTTAGTTTAATGAAAAAAAAAATCTCAAAAATATAAAAATCACTAAAAAAGTATTTTAGTGAGAGGTGTAATTTAAGTATATATTATTCTTCTTTAGATAATGTAATACATTTAAATACGTAGTTTAAAAAATGTAAAAAGAAATATTTTAGGGCATCGAACACAGCGATGAAACAATGACAGTTAGTTGTAATTTTCCCCAGATTGTTAGACTACCATCTAAAAGCAGCACATACTGGCGAAAGACCTCTACAATGCGAAATATGCAAAGCTACGTTCGTATACCCCGAGCACTACAAAAAGCACGCTAGAATACACAGCGGCGAGAAACCGTACGATTGTGAGGTGAGAAATGTATAAAAGCTTTGCCATATACTTAGACTGAAACAAAAAGGGAAGATACGGTACGCTCATAATAGCATCAAATAAAATATGATCCGACTCAACTACATAAGCAACTCTCACAGACGCACGTCTGTATATAAACAATAGGGGCCGCCCGCTACTTCGTACGCGTTGTGTTAGTTAGAAATAAAGGTTCACTGCTCGTTCCTCGCAGGTGAAAGCGTGATAATATATAGCCTATATGTTGACCCGACTTCTTAATTGTTATTTGATTTTGAACTATTTGTGTTCTTTATAAAAGCATCGAAGGCATTGATTTATCTTTATAACACAGAATATACGCAATATTGTTATATTGAATGCACATTCAGCGTGTTTGAATGTCCAATTGTGACTTAAGCGAATTGTGTTCATGCACCACAATTTAAGCGGATCACTTTTGAGCCGCGAGTGCCGTATCTTCCCTTTTTGTTTTAATCTAAGACCATATAGAGTAAAAGTACCTTAAATAATAATTATGTAGATAGAAAATATTAGTAAAAGAAAACTTCCTTTTAAATTTAATAATAATACGAACTGAATTCCAAGAAGACGAGGAATCGGACCCGCTAAACGAAAAAAAAACTGTAATTTGACTGTACTCATCGAATAATAAAACAAATTTCAACGGTATACATGCACTGATTTATTTACTAGCTGACCCAGCGAACTTCGTATCGCCATAAAAATATGGGTGGTAGAAGGGTGAAAATTTAGGGTTAGATGTATTTTTAATGCCACATTATAAAAAAATTGTGGACAAACAAAATAAAAAAAAATAATGTTAGGGGTGGACAACCTTTCAGGCACGCTCCCGTGGGAGATAGATGCTCTGGTACTGTCCCAGGTGCATCAACACCGGGTCGCGACGAGAGAGCGGGCGAGCGACCCGTTCTAGAGGAGATAGAACGGGTCCGCACCGAGGCGCAGAGGGAGGCTCTGCGCCGATGGGTGGAGGCACTCGCCAACCCAGCCGCTGGCCACCGGACGATCGAGGCGATTCGTCCGGTGTTGGAGGAGTGGGTAGGGCGCCAGCGGGGCACCCTCACCTACCGCCTGGTGCAGGTACTGACCGGACATGGGTGCTTCGGTCACTACCTGCACCGAGTCGCCCGTCGGGAGGAGACGCCGCGGTGTCATCACTGCGCCTCTCCCGACGACACGGCCGAGCACACGTTGATCGTGTGCCCGGCCTGGCGAAATGAGCGCCGCGATCTGATCGCGGCGCTCGGCGGAGGAGGCCTCACGCTGCCAAGTATGGTAAGAGCCATGCTTGGTAGCGAGAGTGCCTGGAGGGTTGCCGCCTCCTTCTGCGAATCGGTGATGACGCAGAAGGAGGCAGCGGCGAGGGAGCGGGAGGAGGACGCTCTAGCACCCCCTCTCCGGCGTAGACGGGTGGGCCGAAGAAGGCAGGCAGCGGTGACTGCCGGTCTTCGACGGCCCTAAGGTGGTCTGGGCGCGGCCTGACCAGCCGCGCGTCCTAGGTGCCGCTCCGGCATAGGCCACCACGTCTGGGGATTGCCTAGTACCCTAGCGCAGTCCCCCTGAGGCGCGTCGCCCGGTCCACTCGTTGGGCCGGGCCTGCCCGGGGGCGTGCTCGGAGATGTGGCGCACGCAGGTGCGTCGGCCCCGAGACGCCCCCACATGGGCGTAGGAGGGTACCGGGGGGTTTTAGTGGAGTAGGATCAGTGTGGCCTACCGCACTGGTCCTGCTTGAGTAGGGTCGGCACTGTTTTCCGTGCCGGCGAGTCCCACACACGCCGTGCGCCTAGTCAGCGTCACGGTATGGTGCGTAACTGCATTTCCCCTCGTCACAAAAAAAAAGGGGTGGACAACCTTTATCACTTAGGGGTATGAAAATAGATAGTAGTCGATTCTCAGACCTACTGAATATGCATATAAAATTTCATAAAAATCGGTCAAGCTGTTTCGGAGGAGTATGGTAACTAACATTGTGACACGAGAATTTTATATATAAGATCACGTTTCGCATCCTTTTCAGGCAGCGTCGTCAGAATTATCAACGTCAACAAAACGTCATCGTCAACGACATAATAAATTAATCAGTGCATCTATACTCTACCGTTGAAACTTCTTTTATTTAATGAGTGAAAACCTAAGAAACAGAAAAGTTTATAAGTTTATTTCTCCTAAATTAAAAGAGTATCATGAAATTTCGCAAGTCTTCGTTCAGTAACAACTTTGAAAGCTTTCTCCCAATCAATATAGTCTATTTTCCCCTAACAGGTTTGCGGTAAAGCATTCACTTCCCGTGACAATCGCAACATGCACAGATTCGTTCACAGCGATAAGAAACCGTACGAATGTCTCACTTGTGGCGCCGGGTATATGAGGAAACAACTGCTTTACACTCATATGAACACTACGGTGAGTAATGTGATAAATATTCAATTCAATTCCCTTCATAAATCATGTATTCAGTTTAGGCTTTTACAAGCAGATGTGAAAGTCGAAAACTACGCCATCGGTTCGCAAAACTACGGCGGGAGACCTTGTACTGAGAAGAACCGGCAAGAAACTTAGCAAGGGCTGCTTTTTTCTCCCTATTTTATTTCATACAGTGTCGTCAAATTGAAAGTTGACATCAAACTTGAAAACATGTGTTGAGGTCAACTTCCATAATGTCAAATTGGTAACAATAGATATGGTATATATAACAATATAATGTTTATACAGTGGTGGTCACAAAATTATAGACACTCGCTAATTAACCACAAAAAACTTAATTTTGGTACTAACATTAGTTAAAATTGGTATTTCATCATCATCAGCCTATTAATGTCTTAACTGCTGGGGCACAGGCCTTCCCTATGGATGGAATAGGGAGATTGGGCCATGACCCACCACGCGGGCCCAGTGCGGATTGGCGGGTGCTAACGACTGCAGATGCAGCCGGGACCAACGGCTTAACGTGCCTTCCGAAGCATGGAGGAACTCGAGATAGAAGATTTTTGGTCACCCATCCAATGACCGACCACTGCGAAAGTTGCTTTAATTCGATCGCAGCCGAACCCGCTAACAACTTGCGCCATCGAGCTCCTCAAATTGACATTTAATCCAGTTTAATTGTTATTAAACCATACACGACTTTGTATTCTTACAATGTGGGACAAAAAATAGTTGTTTTCGTTAGTAGTTTAGACACTGCTCACTATAGGAACGTAACACAAACTTTTTTAACGTACTTGTAGCTGGCCAGCTAATTAAAGACAGTAAAAGCTGTGTTCTGAATTTAAGAAAATATAGAAAATAACTGCATTCTGTTTTTCTTTGTTTTAACGTCGAGATTACATATGAAACCTAATTTTTTAATTAAAATTAATACGCTTTAAACCCAGCAAGTCCATTTAGCGCGTTCGGCTGCGATCGTTGAAGTTAAGCAACTTTCGCAGTGGTCGGTCATTGGATGGGTGACCAAAAATTTACTATCTCTAACTCCTCCGTGCTTCAGGAGGCACGAAAAGCCTGGCTGCATCTACAGTCGTTAGCACCCACCAATCCGCACTGGGCCCGCGTGGTGGGTCACGGCTCAATCTCCTTATTCCATCCATAGGGAAGGCCTGTGCCCCAGCAGTGGGGGTATTAATAGGCTGATGATGATAAGTCCCGACATGGCCAGAAAGACCCTAACCTAAAACACTAATTACATTTGCGTGTACTTTTTATGAATAAATACTGAATAAAAATAATTTTGTATTAAAGATTGTTTTTCGTTTGTTAAATTTAATGATTGGAGTAAATATTTTCTTCTATTTCAAAGGGGCACGTTGCAGAATCGATCGTAGTGAATCAACCGAGAGTCATAAAGACCGTCGAAAACGTAAGTAACATTATAGTTATAGCATTATATAATAATAATAATAATAATAATAATAATAATAATAATAATTAATAATGGTAATTTCAAATTAGCGCACAACAGCCCGCTTTTATTGAGACAACTTAGCGATCGCAGCGCCTCACTTTTTTTGTCCATATTTCTGGGACACTATTTTCTACAGCAATCATTCTCCTTCTCTCTAACCTCCATGGCAATAAGGTATTTGACAGTATGAAAAATAAAGTACCAATAAGGTATTTGACAAGTTTTAGAAAACGATCTCACGTTATTGACTAATTTATATGGAGTCCGTCCGGAGTGGATTAGTGTCATTCTGTTGTGTATTTCAGTAAAAATAACCAAATCAAAAACTCCATTTTCAATTTGCCGCGAAAACGTTTCTCTGGACAATATGGCGTGTTACTAGTGTGTGAGACGTCACACACGTCGTGTGACGACACGACTGTTATTAAAACGTCAAACGATACAATGTCACTTTAACCGGAAGTTTACTTGCGTGTGACGTCATTTTAGGCTCCGCTAAACCCAAGCGTTTTGGGTCACGTGACAATAGAATCTTTTTCGTGGGGTTTTAGTAAAATTATGAATATTTTTTTTTGTAAAAATAGTAAAAACCCTGCCAATATTCATTATAAACACAGATGTTAACCATTGGCACTTTATTTTTAACACTGTCAAATACCCTATTGTTGGCATCTGTATTTAATATGAATATTAGCAGCATTCTGAGAGGAAAATCAATTAATAACTTTTCTAAAAAGTCATTAAATAGAAATATATATTTTTGTTCTATGGTCACGTGACCAAAAACGCCTGGGATTGCCGAAAGCTAAAATGGCGTCACATGCTAGAAACTTCCGGCCAAAGCGACAATTCATTATAGTATCATTTGACGTTTTAATGTCAGTCGTGTGACGTCACATGTTAAGGACACGGCCATAACGTCCAGAGAAACGTTTTCGCGGCAACTTAGATAGATAGATAGATAATTCTTTATTCGCACCAACATGCACACATACAAAATAGACAAGACAAATTTTACATTTAGATAAATCGTTTAAATCAAGCAACAACTTATATTTATACAACTATACTGTAATATTTTCGTGTGCAGCAGCGATGCGAATGGGCGAAAACTGAGATCGAAACATATACTCAGAGGAGTAAATCAATGATTTTCAGGTCTAAACTTGAAAATGAAATTTTGGAATTACATTAGTAAACAACGTGAGTGCGTTTTCTAAAACTATGTCAAAAACCTTAATAGTAGGTAACCTACCGAATCAATTAATTATGATTTCATATAATTCATAGAACACCGAAAAACTATTTCTACTACAATACTATTAACGACCCCCGTGGCCGAGTGGTATGTACTCCGGGTTTCATGGCGTCGCCTACTCAAAGCTCCTGGGTTCGAATCCCGGTGGGGCCAAATATAAACATCTAAGTCGCAGATGTTTATATGTATTTCTATATGAATATTCTTATATATGTATCAGTATTCTAAACGTTATTCTATGATCCCATAACACAAGATTTCGGGTTTGTCAATAAAAAATCTAAAGTTTCATCTATGCCCGATTTAGCGTTGTCATTTTTTATGTGTGAGTGTCGTCATTACGATAGGGATGATGACTATTTCTTTTTCTTCGTTTATCAGGTAGATTATCAAAAAGTATTGAACACGTATTTTTTCTTTTTTCACATAATATAAACATTGCAGAGATATATTGATTTGAAAAGTCGTATGACGTCACGTTTTGGTACAATTTTCACTTAAAAGTGATTTCACGAGCCCCTACTCCCAAACTTTGACGCGCTATAACTTTGTCATTTTTTGGTTAATTGCCCAAAGAAAAAATATGTGTCCGTGATTTTTTGATCATCTAACTGACGGACTAAATAGAATTTCGTTTACTGTACCCCGTCATCACCCCTATTTCGTTTTTGCGAAAGTATGTAGGACTAGATGTCTGCATATGCCTCCCCCCGCAAAAAACGGTAGTCATTATGGCTACTCCCCTCCTAGCCGCGTCGGATGTGATGCTCTATAGATTCTAAAGATATATATTAATTTTATTCAGGGATTAAATACGCCACTCATAGATGTTCACGGCATTGAATTAAAGAATGATAAATTATCCGATCCGGTAAGTACTTTTCCTTATCACACTAATATAAGGCGAAAGTTTGTGAGTGTCAGTGTGTATGTTTGTTACTTCTTCACGTCTAAACGGCTGGAGCGTTTTTAATAAAGTTTGGTATGGAGTTAGCTGACACCCTGGACTAGCAGATAGGCTACGTTTTACTGCGGGAAAATATCCCTAAAAAACCTCGGGTAACACCGCGGGGCGCAGCTAGTTAACTATATTTTATATTAATGCAAGGGGCCGGCCGCCGTTTTTTAAGAATCCTACAGGATCCTTATATTTTTCCAGGATAAAATATGCCCTACGTGTCAATCCAGGTCATGAACTATATGCGCACCAAATTTCATCCAAATCAGTTCAGTAGTTTTTGCGTGATTGAGTCACAAACATTCAAACTCTCACACTTATATTAATAAGTAAGATATACTATATTAATTATTATTGTGCAAGTAACACGTCAGTTACGTTTTCACAACGAACTTTTTGAATCAATTTCTCAAATCTAAAGGACTTCTAAAAGAAATATAGGCTACATTTTGTCGTGGCAATAAAATTTGAAGGGTTTAACCCCCTAAATTAAAGTGGATGAAAGTTGTCATTATAGCCAATTTTTTGGGGTTACTCAAAGGGTAAAAATGGGACCCAATTAGTAAGTCTCGGCTTTCTGTTCGTCTGTCGCCATCCTGTATCTTTTGAACCGTGATAGCTGGATAGTTTAAAATTTCACAGTTGATGTATTTTTGTTGCCGCTACAATCAAAAATACTTAAAAGAAGAATAGAATAAATATTTCAGGGCGGCTCCCATACAACAAACGCGTTTTAACTTTTCAAACAATAAAAAAATAAAAAAAAGTTTGAATTACCCGTAACATTTAGGGGGAAGAAAAATAGATGTTTTCCGATTCCCAGACCTACTGAATATGCATATAAAATATCACGAAAATCGGTCGAGCCGTTTCGGAGTGGTTCAATTACGCACACAGTGACACGAGAATTTTATATAAATACTAGCTGACCCAGCGAACTTAGTATCGCCATAAAAATATTGTTGGTAAAAGGGTGAAAATTTAGAGCTGTATGTATTTTTAATGTCACATTATAAAAAAAATGGGTGCGTGTACTTATGTAGGCGCGTGAGAAGTTATCCTTCTTTGGCATCGTTTAAAATTAGTTTTTAATTGCATGCAAATAATTAATTACAATAAATTAATAAAAAGTCTGGAAAAGGACACAGTCAATAAAGTTCAGTTTTAATTTGAAAAAATAAATAAATAATCAAAATATTCAATTAAAATCGCTACTGAATATAATTTATTAGAACATGTGATTTGCACTTGTATGAAACTCAAACACGTATTCCGAATATACAAACTAGAAACATGTGGATAAATATTATAAATATGAATACCTATAACTGTTACTTTATTACAAAAAAATAAAGATTTTCTTTTTTGGTTCTACTACACCAATGGTCAAGAGATGGCGCTGTAGTCTCCTGAATCGCGCTTTGGTTCCGTTGTTCCAGATTAATAAATACTTTTGATAGGCCTTCACAATGCAGTCGTTTAGCACCTACTAAATAGAGATTCTATTTTGGTGGTAGATTTTCTTAATGTGCGGTAAACACAAAAGTAATTTTTTGTGTTACAGTGATGCGCGCGCATCTTAAAATTTCACTCTCATCATTTTTTCATAACGCGCCTAAAGAAGTATAACTTCAAAAATAAACCAAAATCTAAAAAAATGTAAGGGGTGGACAACCCTTATCACTTAGGGGTATGAAAAAAAAGATAGTAGCCGATTCTCAGACCTAGTGAATATATAAAGTTTCATAAAAATCGGTCAAGCTGTTTTGGAGGAGTATGGTAACTAACATTGTGACACGAGAATTTTATATATAAGATTAGATTACTTATTTTAAAACTTAATACTTCATATCCAATATCAATAAAGCTAAGTTTCAACGTTCACTTTCAGCTAATGGAATCAATAGAAGAGTTACAATTGGATGAAGATAGGAATCACGAAAACGCTGCCGGTGAGTATAGCAACTTCGAAAACACATCCTTTACAAATTTATGAAGCATGATAAATAATTAATGATTATCATCATCATCAGCCTATTAATGTCCCCACTGCTGGGGCACAGGCCTTCCCTATGGATGGAATAGGGAGATTGGGCCATGACCTTCCACGCGGGTCCAATGCGGATTGGCGGGTGCTAACGACTGCAGTAGCAGCCGGGACCAACGGCTTAACGTGCCTTCCGAACACGGAGGAACTCGAAATAGTATTTTTTTTTCGGGCACCCATTCAATGACCGACCACTGCGAAAGTTGCTTAATTTCAACGATCGCAGCTGAACGCGCTAACCACCTGCGCCATCGAGCTCCTCATGTTAATAATGATTATGAATACTATTTAATTAACAGTTGCTTGGTTAAACTTAATTTTGCATTACCCTAACAGGGTTTTGTACTATAACTAAGAATTATATAAAGAAAATAATCCACGCGAGCCAGCAGCAGACGGGACTCGAACCAGCACCCTCCGCTGTCTAGGCGGATGCACTGACCGTTATGCTACCGCGGCCCTAATGGCCCGTGTCGAATTCTTTTTAGTATTTCTTAGGCTGCAAGTCAGCGTCATCTCTTCGCATTGTAGATGACTCACTGTGTCTAAGGAGTACCTTTACAAGTATTCAAATTTTGAAAGAAGAAATAGCAATTGTAGTTATTTTTTAAGCAATTAACAGTTTTTTTTAGAAAGTTTTATTATTTAAACATCTAGCATTAAAATGCTTAAAAAATATATTATATGTAACAAAGAATTATAGGTTTAACGGAACCCTATTAGTAAGTCTCGGCTTTCTGTTCGTCTGTCGCCATCCTGTATCTTTTGAACCGTGATAGCTGGATAGTTAAAAATTTCACAGTTGATGTTGATATGCTTTTGTACATGACAGCAAATGAATAAATAAAAGAATCATGCCAAATTCGGACCCATTTTGTTTTTCAGTAAAAAGAACTTTGCCATAAAGTTGTATCATTGTAACATTATACATTATTAAAGCCCGCTTGCAGCAAATTTGCTAAAACTCCATTGAAGTAAGACTAGATTCAGACGATTCAATAATGTCACATTGACATTGACGTTTTGTCACTTAATTTTATTTGAATCTAAATTTAGAAAAAAAATCTACAACTTAGAACTATTTCAAATATGACGTTGTTAAGAGAGTTGCTGATCGGCGCGTAGGTAGATTTGCATTAGTAGATATTGCATTTTACGGGTGATGTTTCGAGTATTATAAAATAATTATTAAGGAACTAATTATAAAAATATATACATATTTCAGTAGTTCAATGATGGTAGATTAGTTTTATGAAAGTTTTTGATAGTAATTCTATTTAATTCAATATCAAAATATGAGGTAAACCTGCATTATTTTTTGGGAAAACTCACGGAGGTTAGATGTTTTTTTTTTGATTATTAATAAGATGGAAAATCAAATTATGTTACAACAAAAACATATTTATATTTCTGATGTCGTAGTAATAAATTTGATCTTATTTATTGAACATTATCGAGAGATTGAGGCGTTTGAAGTTGTGCATATTATCGTTTTTTCCGTAAACTAGCTGCAGTAGAACGATCAGTACAAAAAAAGGAAAATAGCATTTGCAAATATTCTACATGAACTTAAAATAGGAAGAATAAATCTACTGTTTACTTCTATTGGAAATAGTCAAAATCTTTTCTAAGTCGGTAAACGAGGCGCTCAAAAATTACGATTTATTGCAAAAAATGTGAAAGGACTCTTAATGTATATTTATATCTTAATATTTAAATTAGAATTCTTTAGATTTAAATATGCTTTAAAAAATTACTTCATTTTTACTTTTCCAAAAAACGACGACACTCCTAAATTGTTCATTACTGAAGACATTACATATCTAAATATTTAAATTAGAATTCTTTTGATTTAAACATGCTTTAAAAATTACTTCATTTTTACTTTTCCAGAAAACGACGACACTCCTAAATTGTTCATTACTGAAGATAAGAAAATTATTTTACAAAACAACAGTAAGTATTTTTTTAATGTTCAGATTACATACAATTTATCACATTGTCATGAGATTTAAGGTCAATATTTAACTGTTATTAGATCGTGAACGGTCGCATAGAAACCTCAACAAAAATAATGATTTTAATTTGTAGGTAGGCGGTTAAAAAGTTAAAAATTATGGTATATATTAAACTAGTGACCCGCCTTCGCTTCGCTTCGCTGAAGACTATATATTTTGTTCACGAGCATGTATTATGCATATAAATCTTTCTAACAAATCACTCTTATCTATTTCTGAAAACAGTATTAAAATCCGTTGCGTAGTTTAAAAGATCTATGCGTACAGACAGCGGGAGTTAATTTGTTTTATACTGACGAGGTTTCATGTTGTCGCCTTCTCAGAGGTCCCGGGTTCGAATCCTGGCGGGGTAAATGTCAGTATGATGAATAAGAGCATTTGTACCTAAGTCGTGGCTGTTTAATATGTATATTTTTACGAAAAAATAACTTATTGTATATGTATTTCTATCCTTTACTCTAGTATCGCATGACCTTACAGTGCTTACTTTGAGCCTTGGCTAATTGGTGTGTGTTATTAAATATAAAGATAAAATCATGTTTATTAAGTTTTAATATAATTCTATTTTTATGTTTTTAGATTATTTTTATAATTTTATACTTTTGTTATTTAAATATTTGTATGTTAAAATAAATAATAATATATCCAAATAAATTAACCAACAAATATTTCTCTTTATATTAACAGAGGCATCGATAAATCTTGTCCAAGACAGTGAAGCAGCCTTCCTTAGTTTACGTAAGTACAAGTTGATTACCATGTTTATGTCAACCGCTTTAAAGTTCAAAATCGAATGGAGAACTTTCAAATTTGTTTAACACGTTTTTTGTTATTTAAACAGCACTTACCTTTATTAGAAATCAATACAGTTACAATTTACTAACATTAATATAGGTAATGATAATCTGTATATATATAACATAGGTCAAACCACTGAACGAATTGTGCTGAAAGTTGACACACATTCATTCACTCAAAATCAAATCTAATGCGAGCGCAGCCACGAGCCAAAGCTAGTACATACATATTTCTGATGGCATATATCTAAGATGTTAGTTACAACTCACACTTGAATTGGTATTAATTATGACACACTTGCACTCAAGTTTTTAAATGAAATTTAAAACCTAATCATGTTTGTAACTCGTTCTATCTCTATTCGACTTTAAACTATTAACAAAGATGGAATTAAGTGATAAATATGATTAATGATAATAATTTACTTTACATGTCATAGATCCAAGCTGTTAGTAACAATTTGAAACTTCATTTCTATGTTAGTAGTTTTCCCCTCCGTGGCATACCCCGCACCTTGTTGGGCCAAGTATCGGAATGTGAAAATGACAAGGAAATAATGCCCCATTGTTAAAATGCCCAGTGGGCCAATCGCCTAACCAGATTGCTTTGGAAAACGCTATCGCTTACGATTTCATTTTGTTATTTCTAACCGCCGAAATACCTCACGCTCATTTTCTTTAACATTGTTATTACCAATGCAAAAGAAAAAAAAAGAGCGCGAGGCATTTGAAAACCTCAGGGGGCTAGAAATAACAAAATGAAATCGTAAGCGATAGCTTTTTCCAAAGCAATCCAGTTAGGCGATTAGCCCCCAGTTGTCATAACATCCAAGTGTGAAAACAACAAATTGTTAAAAAGTCAAATTGTTATAATTTCCAGTTATCAAATGACCCTTGGCCCAACATACCCCGCAGGGCAAATTTCATTCTATTACATATAATTTATTCAGCCTTAATTTTGAATAAATATTCGTGTCGATTCTGGCATGATTCTCCAAACTTAAAACTAAATTAACACATCGGTCTCTCCTTTTCATTCTGTATAGAGAATGACAAAGATACACTGTTGTCGAATTTAAGTTTGTGTTTAGAGATTCTTCCCAGAATCGACACCATTGTTGGTGTAAGTGGCCCTAAATACACTTAGAGACACATATATCGGCCCACTTAGAGTATAATAAGTTTTAACGGTCTGAAGCAAAAAATATGTGTAAGGTAGAGCAATAATAATCACATTAATATTATCAAAAGCAAAGTTTGTGAGTGTCAATGTTTCTTACTTCTTCACGTCTAAACGGCTGCAGCTATTTTTATAAAATTTGGTATGGAGTTAGCGGACACCCTGGAATAACAGATAGGCTACGTTTTACTGTGGGATAATATCCCTAATAAACAGCGGGTAATACCGCGGGGCACAGCTAATAAATTAATTTACAAAACACGAAAAATATGGTTGATAAATCAGCTTCAAAACTGCCTGAAAACTTTTTGCTTAATGTAACATTTATTTTAAGATAGGGACTGCCAAAACTTGAACCCCCTTATCAATAAACAAAGATTACAGAAAAGTTTACTAGAAAAAAATCCACGCGGACCAGGCAGCAGACGGGTGTAGCATAATGGTCAGTGCATTCGCCCGGATAGCGAAGGGTACGGGTTCAAGTCCCGTCTGCTGCCTCGTCCGCGTGGAATTTTTTCTAGTAAACTTTTCTTTAGATTCAAGCATCGAGCAGTTAAATGCTGAAAAAATAAAAACATAGCAAAGAATAAGCTTGGATCCGTTACTCCATGTTTTGTATGGCATTTGAGTGTTATGAACAAAACACGGCGTAACTAGTCTTAGCTTATTCCTCGTTTATTATTAATTAATGAAGGGGGAACATGCTTAGTGGGCCGGCAGAAGTGTCCTGAAATGTATGTTATTGTTTTTTCTATACAGATAACCTGAACGGCCTTATGGAAGCGTCAACCGAAGATAAATTAGATGAACAAGCACAGGTAAATACTTTCACGATTTACTTACTATACAAATAAACAAAATATAATAATAATATCCTACTTATATTATTCACGTGAAAGTTTGTATGTACCTTTGTAAGATTGTTACTCAATCACGCAAAAACGGCTGAACGGATTTGGATGAAACTTGTCACTCATATAGTTTATCACTTGGATTGAGACATAGGATACTTTTTTCCGAAAGAATTGGAGTATCCCGAGGAATTCTCAAAAAGCTAAAGTTAACGATGTCCCGGAGGGTCTCTAGTAGTTAATAAATTTATGATTATCTGATTGAGAAAGTTTAGTAAAAGTGTTAAAAGTTAATTGACGTTTCTAAGTACGACTAAGAAAGGTTTTATTTTCTCCCAATTTCTAGATAATAACAACAGACGAGAAAGGTGCTACTGTTCGTCTGATACAGATACAACTCGCGGATGGCAACACTGGATGGGTTGCCATCAACCATCACGACGATAACTTGCAATAACATCAATAAAATAAATCATGTGTATTATATTTTGTCATACATGCTTGGAAATTTATATATATTATATTATTCAACAACCTTCTTTGAGATAAATCGAAATTGCTGTACTGGCCACATACATGAGGCAAAAGTTGTATGAAAATCCATATCTGTCGTAAACATAGAGGTATGAGAATAGAGTGGGGAAGGCGGCTCTAAAAGTTTCCCTCTAGTAGAAAGAGAAAGAAGATGAGAGACCGCTAGCTATTTCTCTCTTGTGACGCATGGCATCCAATGGCATCACATCGAATTAGTTAGATGCTTACGGTTGCCAATGCGCACGCGAGATTAGAAAGAGAAAGCTAGCCGTCTCTCATCTTCTTTCTCTTTCTATTAGAGGGACACTTTCACTCGTAGAGTTTATATCTCCCCTACTCTATTCTTATAACTCTACGCAAATAAATTACATAGTAGACTTTTATATCTGTCGTGTAATTTAAAATTGGAACGATCTTGTTCTCCGTTCCAATTTTAAACGAAACGTGGTAAACCAAAGAGGTAACTTATCAAAGGTTTTATTTAAATTTCGAACTGAATCGCAAATAGAAAGCTGTTTATTGAAAAAAAAAACAAATGAATGTGTGTTGTTCGTCATTGATTTTGAAAAGTAGGTACCTACCTAATTGTCATTTAAAATAATAATTTCTGCCTCGGTAGTACTTAGTTTTAATTTCCGCGCATTATTTAAGACAAGTCTTGGCCACAACTAGGCGTTGATGGACTCGGCCCACATTCACACGTTCGTCCATCTCGTCCGTCTTTTGTTGGCCGCTGCAGTAATTACTGTTTCTTAATGGACGATAATGTGTTAAATTTATATACCGCCGGTATACATGAATTTTTCATTTGGGTGACGGACCACCCTGTCCGCCGCCCGCTAGCTTCACTAGGATGCTCGAGACTAGCTAAATATAGATCAATCACTGAGAATCTTTCTATAATACGGGCGTTAGTGTTGCAAGTTTCAACGCTCGGTAGCAAAAATATATGTTTATGGCAAAACTGCGTAGGGAATAACTTTTATGTTTCCTAGGTTTTCACGCACATCACTTATGAAATAAAACAAATTTCAACGGTATAGATGCACTGATTTTATTTATTTATTGACGTCAATATACTGTTGAAACTTGTTTTATTTAATAACTTTGCTCAATAAAACATTTATTTTTAGTTTTTATACCGCCAAAACAGTGTATTTTTTTAAATGTGGCACAGGTGATGTCAATCTTGAATTGAAACTGGCCAATACAGGTATACCTTCTATATTGATAGTTTTTACCATTACAATAATTTAAGATAATATGTAAAAATTGTATAAAATTGTTACCACCAATCATTGGCATACGTGAATTTCGATGTTCTAATCGGAAATCAATTTATAGATAATTATCTAAAGAGTCATTTTAATAAGTTATTATTTTTACTTATTTTGTTAAAAAAAATGTATATTATACAGAGATTTTACTAAACATCACAAAATAGATTCTTTGAAACCTGTAATAATTGAAGATTATACACCCCGGCATACTTCTTGAGCAACAGCCATAGACAGGAAGCCTGCGCATTAGCAATTTACATACAAAAACGCCTACAGCGCAAGTTTATTTGTCTGTGGTTTTGCTCAAGAAGATTGCCCTTACCTATAATGCCGGCCCTTCACTTCGGGACATTCATTTATTACGTAAGACGAGTGAGGGTAGAGGGGGGGGGGGATGTCTTATTTTTTTCTTACAAGGGTTGGGAGGGAATCTCAATAGTTCTTACCTCTTAGGGTCGTTCTTAGGGTCACAAAAATGCGCATAGTTAAAATTAGACTTTGAAAAAAGCGCGAGTACCGAGGTTCGCTTGGATGCGTATAGGGAATCGATTTCCATTTCCATGGCGACGGACAAAAAATAAATCATTAAAACAAACCAAACGCATAATCAATATCATAAATATTCAACAGGGGGGGGAGGACTATTCTTAAAATAGTCTCACGTAATAAACGAATAGCCCCTTTGGCGATTCGTGTTTGCTATTTGTAAAATTGACATCAGTCTGTCCTTTTCCTTCCTTGTAAAAGATGATAAGGATAGTCTGTTCTCAAGTTTACAAATAGCAAATACGAATTTGTACTTATTGCACCCCGGTATTTCTTTCTCACGCTCCTACTGGTCGACTGGTAGAGAATGCCTTATGGAATTATGTCCGCCAATTGTTGTACTTTTTATGCAACAAAGTATAAATAAATAAATAGCCAAGTGAAGTGCCGACATGACATTGTAAATATCTAGTTACTAAAATGTAGATAACCTACCTACTTGACAGTAAATTGTTCATACCGATCTTGCTCATTATGTCTAGATGACATTAGGTTCAAAACAAATTTAGCAGAAATATTCTTCATAAACTACAGTTGTAAATATGTTAAGTAAATAAATAATATATTTTACCTATCAATATTTAGTTTTATTGTTGTAAGATTCCTTTTCAATTAAATCCCTGAATGTTCATACGAGATGAACTGCGTACAATGAACAACTTGTACGGTAACGTTACCGCCTTACCGTCTCGCTCTGAATAAAAGGTAATATTTATCACCCACATATTTTGACGTTACGCCTATCTGTTATATATTCCTATGATTCCTTGAATCATATTAATAATCATATTCTTTTAAATCTAAGCAGAGAAAAAGCCATGTTATTCCACAAAAAGCATTTACTTCAAAATAAATTTATTGAACATCGTACATTTTGGAGTATATGTAGAAAAAAAAGTTTCCGGCATGATGGAGAAATTTTAGCCCTCATCACACACTTCAAAAAGGTATGCCAGACCCTTACGGCAAAAAAAAAGTGGTTTGCGTGATTTTTCTTTAAAAGCCAATTTTACTATCAATACATTAAAAAAAAATACCCGCGATGACGGTAATACATTTTTATTTACGTTGTTTCGGCAATAGGAATCCACGCATACCGAGCTCAATTTATTCCTATTATATATTATTTTATGTTCTATTTATTTAAATTTTTTTTTGATTCCGCTATGACGGGACTCAATTTTACCGGCTCCTTGCCTATGGGTACGGCCAGAGTGCATTCAGATTCAGACTCAGAAAACAAGCGCGAGAAGTAAACAGTGTAGTTTAAGCAGGTTGCCTTTCACTATGGCCACCCTGCTTTAACTACACTGTTTATTTCTCGCGCTTTTTTCTGAGTCTGAATCTGAGTGCACTCTGGCCGTACCCTATAAGCCGTGACCCGTGACAGACATTTTTGAATTTCGCTCGTCGCTCACGACACGTACGCACGCACCCAGCGAGCGCGTGCCACACGTGCGTTCGTGGTGTGTGTGTGTGCGCGCAATGCATTATGGGAAAAATTTATACCGATAATTTTCAGGACGCATTTTTTACGTTGAACGAACGAATTAGAACAAACGATAATAAGAAGATTAGTTTTTTAGTTGGCGTTGGCGTTTTTGGCTATTGATAAGCATTTTTTTAAATAATCAGGCGCTTTGAGTGTCCTAGACAGGGTTCCTCTCTAAAATGGATGGTAACCCTCACCAAGACTGCCCGGCAGCGCCATCAATCTACCTCCATATCTTCAAATCGGCCTTGAGGTACAAAGTCTGATATTTTACAATATATATACATACACTACACACAGTACAATGTGAGTATAATCAGCCACACGCCAAAGTTAAAATAAAATGTCATTTGAATCTCTAAATCTATTGAAATATATCTCAAATTCAACTGTCTCTACACTAATATTATTAATGCGAAAGTGTATGTCTGTCTGTTACCTTTTCACGCTGAAACCGCTGAACCGATTTAGAGGAAATTTGGTATGGAGATAGTCCCGAGAAAGGATATAGGATAGTTTTTATCACCGAAATCATCCTTCAAGGGGGTGAGATACCAATAATTCTACGCAGACGAAATCGCGGGCCCACTAATATGCAAAAAAAATATGTGACGTTCTGAGGTGGTGGCGCTGCTGGACTAAAGGCTGGACACTGAAATTTCAGATCTGCATAATGATATTATTAGTTATAAGGATAATCTTTACATCACCATCGTATCATCAGCCTATTTATGCCTCCACTGCAGGAGTACAGGCCTTCCCACACATGCAGACGTGACCAACCGCTAAACGTGCCTTCCGAATCACGGAGCCCGAATGATCAAAATTGTTGGTCACCCATCCGATGACCGGCCTTTGCGAAGGTTTTTAAATTCCACGATCGCTGCCGTACCCGTCAACCAATCAATCAAAAATCATTTATTCAGTCTAGGCTGTTACAAGCACTTCAGTCAGTTATGAGTATTTGCTCACACTGGCGCGCCTGCCTTCTGTGGTAATGCACATATTCCTTTCAAGGTGATTCGCGCGACTTCTTTTTTTCTCAGAAATAATATGCGGACCTAAGGGAGTATATGCATTGGACGTTTCTGATTTGCAGCGGATCCAGACTATAGTTTAAAAGTCCGGACATGTCCGGACTAATCAGGACAGATGGTAACCCTAACTGCGAAGTCATTCATTATACAAATAGTCTGTCGTTTGTAAAATGACTGAACATTTACTAATAAAAAACTTTATAACACCAAATACTTTTAATTACATTTGAAAAATAAAGAAAAAATAACTATAACATTCACCTATTGGAAACTTGGTAGATCACAGTGCTTTTTTTTAACGTGAAACCTTAAAGAAGTGTTGTACTTAGTAGCGAACGGGCAAACTTCACATTTGAACTTTTTCTCTGAAGAATGTTTATACTTGTGTTGCATTAAGTTTGCTGGCAAGATTGTAGAGTAATCGCATTGGTCACATTTGTATCTTTTCTTGCCGGTCGCATGTGCTTCCTCGTGGTACCTCAATATGTACTTACTCATCGTTTGGAAAGGACATTTGGAACATTGCAATTTCAAACCCAATTCCTGGTGCTTTTGCTTGTGTTTCTGCATTGGAATATCGTAGTAACTCTTGTATTTACACCCCGGGAAGTCGCAGTGTAAGGTGGTAGCGTTCTTATGTCTCAACATATGTTGGGTCATACTTGATTTGTTGGAAGTTTTAAATTCGCAATATTTACAATCGTGCACTGTAACGGTGTGCACGGTTTTGATATGCTTCTGTACTTGGTTCCCGGGCATGATTTCACCGCATATCTGGCACTGAGTCTCTTGGCCAAAGTGGTGGACTTGTTCGTAGTGAGCCTTCATTTGCTCAAAAGAGGAGTAAATGTCTGTGCATTTGGTGCACTGATAAATGTCTTTCGCTTCTTCCTCCTTTTTGACCGTCACAAACGGCAGCTTAGCGTCAGGCAATATCTCTGAGTGCGCTGTATTTATATGCTTACACAACTCTAACTCATCGGAGAATTTCTCGGAGCATTGATCGCACTGCTGCATTTGGTCGACGAAATGATTTTCCATGGGATGTTTGAACAGAATGTGCCTCCTGTAACTCTCCTTAGCTTTAAATGTTTTCAGACAATATTTACAGGTGTACGAAACTTTATAGTGCACTTTCATCAAATGAGGTTTCAACTGCCGTTTGTCGTGGAAACCTTTGTTGCATAAATGGCAAAAAGTGACTTTGGGCGAGTCGACTTTGTGCGTACACCTCATGTGCTTTGCTAGGCCACCTTGCGATGCGAAGATCAAACCACAAACGGTGCACTCTTTAATTACTTTTACGTGGGTATGGTTTAAATACATCTCTTTCGATTCGAATTGTTTATTGCACACTTCGCAGTAGGAATCGTTATCATGCTTTCTCCTTATATGCCTTTTGAGGCTCTCTATCTTATCGTATGACAAATTACAGATTTTACACTTCAATCTGAAGTCTTCTTTTAGAGCATTGTGCTTTCGCCTCATGTGGAGTTTCAGGAAATTCATGGAAGCAAACACCAGAGGGCATTCTGTACACGTGATTTCGCCCGTCTCCTCGTTCCTGTAGCTCACTAAATTCGAGGGTTCTTCGCTTTTAACCTGTCCATCTTCTGACAATTTGTGCTTCCTCTGCACATGTCTCGAATATGTCTCCCTCTTACCAAACACTTTGGGACAGAAGGGACAATTGTACCATTGATTCACCACTGGTTTCTTACTGTTCATATGCTTCCGTTTTCTGTGCACTATTAAGCTTCTATATTTGTCGTATGTCAACCCACAGTCCTGGCACTCGTGTTTGAAAGAGTCCGCGAATGATCCGTGTTTTCTTCTCATGTGCATTCTCAACCTTGTGTTTCCCTTAAAGACTAGAGCGCAAATATCGCACGCTTTCTCTTCATTGTCGTCTGGATTGGTTCCAGGTCCATGTTTCCTCTTAATGTGAACTACTAGACTGTTTTTCATCTCGTAAGACATGCCACAATAATCGCAGACATGTTGGAATGATTCTCTGAATGACTGGTGCTTCCTTTTCTGGTGCATTTCTAAAGTTTTTGTAGACTGAAAGACTAGATGGCACAATTTGCAGACGTGCGCCTCTTGGGATATAGCGGGAACTTCTTGTTTGAGACTGAAATCGGTTTGTTTGCTGATGATGCTCTCGAACGTCAAGAGGACCGCTTCTTTGTTATCATTTTCTATTTTGACGGCTTGCTCTTGACTGTCTTCACTGTTTGGACCCTCCACCATGAGGCCACTGTTGTTGGCGAACTGAAAACAAACACGGAGAGATTTAAGAAAAATGCGGAAAGCCCACTTTAAAATATTTATTTATGATAGACCAATTTGGGAAAACTACAAACAGTTCTAGAGATCATGTTTAAAACAAACAATAACAACCTAATGGTTATCAAAATGTGTATCAAATTTTATCTTAATCCGTTTAGCCGTTTTTGCGTGATTGAGTAATAAACATAAATAAACTCAACATCATATCAGCCGTGAGACGCCCACTGCTGGACATAGGCCTTCCCCAAGGAATTTCAAACCGATCGGTCCGGCGCTGCCCACATCCAGAGGCTTCTCGTAAACTTCACCAGATCGTCGATCTACCTAGTGGGGGGCCTACCAACGTGGAGGCCGCGTACCGGGACGCGGCCTCCACTCAAGGACGTGTGAATGTGTCCTGCCTACTGCCACTTAAGTTTCGCGATTCCTTGGGCTATATCGGCGACGTTAGTTCTCTTGGGTACTCATCATTTCAGATTCGATTGCGCAAAGAATCCCCGAGAATAGCCCCCTCCATTGCCCTTTGCGTGATTTTGAACCTTCCTGTGAGGCCGATTGTGAGCGGCCACGTCTCGGTTCCCTACATTATCTCCTCCAAACACACTATTCAAAGACTTTTATCTCTAGACACTGGTAATTTGCACGCGAGATTCTTCGTAGTTTCCCGAACGTTGTCCGACCGAGCTGGATACCATAATAGATCTCTGTCTCAAAGTGGGACTTACGGGAATGTTTATCCTAGGGAGATGTAGTAGTCAACAACTTCAAGTGTAGTGTTCCCAATTTTAACTGAAGCGGACACAACGTTGGCATGAGACATAATACTTTTCTTATCCATGTACTCTCTCATAAAAACCAGTCTTGAGAAGCAGTTCTGAGATCTTCGAGCATTGTATTCAGATCTTATAGTTTCAGCCTTAAGAACTATATCAAAGGCGAAACAAAGGTGTGTAAGTTAAGTTAAAACTCGGTATTGATGTTGACGCCACGTCCTTTCCAATACAGAAGTTTAAATATACTCTAACGCAGCAGTGAGCAGTTTCAGAGGCATTACATCTCCCTGTCTCAGGCGTTACGCCTTGTCCCAGTTGGATAGGATAGGAACTTTGGTTTTGTATTTCCTAAATCTACTTGGCACAAAATAAAACGTCTTCTAATGTACTTTATGACTGAAGACTGCACCACCATCCAGTCAGGTGGGTTATAGAATCGAAGGCTTTATCATAGTCCACGAACGCCAAGCATAGTGACAGATTTTACTCTTCTGTCTTCTGTCTAACCTGCCACAGCGCATGAACGTCTGGGACGACCTGTCAGTAGAAAATATCCATCTTCATAAATGCCGTATGTTTCCCTTCTGAAACCTGGACCTAATGGAATTTTTTCGAGTAAGATTATTTTAGATATCTTCCTATTTAGCCACTTGCATCCCTGAGTCGTTTTGATTCATAAACTTCAATTTTCTTACCCGCAGCGGGTCTGGTTCGCGCGCCCTGCGATTTTGTTGAAATCTGTCTGCGGACCCGCAGTCTGCGATCTTTTACTGCAGAAAACTGCGGTCCCGTAAGTTTTAAAATAAATCAACTTTCATACTACCATGGTGGGTGCGGGAAAAAATCGCGCCGTGATTTCTTAACCTGAAAGTCGCTGCTTCCGCATCTCTACCAGTTAGTGTCCGATTCGAAAGTACTCACTCTCAAAGGGAGCGATGCTTAGAGACATCAGGGGTACCTAACCATCAGCAGAAGCTTTTTCTTCGATCTGTGTGCTAATTTCATCCAGTTCAGGGCTTGGTAAAGTGAGCAGGGCCCAAATCACTAAAATCAGAGGCAATACTACTGCACCAGTTATCCCACTCTCATAGCTGTGTTCTTTTATGTACCTATGAGATGTGAGAGGTGGTGCCATCAGGGGCGATTTTACCGCAGTGCCATGAGGCAACCCCACATTGTTGTTTGTATGGAGGGTGGTAGTCCAGTCTCTGGCAGTTTCCACAAAACCAAAATTTAATTTACCCCCTTCTTTTAAAATAATTATATAATATAAAATAATTTCACTATTGATTGGCAAATGGCAAGTTTATTTATCTACTTTTTGATTGCCAAAACATCAAATACGTTCCATTCAATAGGTAACTAAAACAGTGATAATTATTCTGCTCATCTTTCATTACATTATTACTATGTTGTGGGTATTTTATTTCAAGAAGAATTAATCACAAATTGGTATAATAAGTTCAAATGTTTGAAAGTTTTAGAACTATGAAATGTAGCCATCATTTACACATTTACTACAACAATAAAATACTTATTTAAACATTTATTATTAAACAGAGAATACTTACATCATTAAAATCTAATTCTACTTCTATATTTTCAACTTTTATAGATACTTCAGGATCCAGCGTTACTTGGACAGAATTTTCTATATCCGTTACTGCTGGAGATTTCTCGTCTACATCTTTGAAAGGGTCCTGGTCTTGCTTCTTTTTTTTCCTTTTCTTCTTCTTCGTTTTAATTTCATACGACATTGGTTCATCTGGTAAAAACGAAGTTGGATCTTTCCGGCCAAACTCTTCAACTTTGATTGTTAAATCTATTTCTTGTTTTATTGACATGATTTAACTTTGCCTGGAAGTCCATAATATGAAATATGATAATTGAATTTGAGAATGGATCTTTCTATCTGCATTTGCTTAATCATATTTGTAATAATCATAAAACTTGCTTACATGAAAAATAACTTCATATCACAAGCATTTCGATTTGTGTTGACTATGTAAATACACTAATTTTATTCATTGTAAAATTATTTTTCAATTATTCAAAGGCAAATAAAATACCATAATTTCATTAATTCTATGAATCTACATCGACAACTACTAACTACTGTTAGTATATTGTGTGTATAGCTCTTTGAAGGTTTTATTTTTATTTCTATGTAAAATGAGGTAAGTCTAGTAAATATGGGCATTTGCAATGTATTCTATTACCTAGCATAATTCCTACCCTATAAAATGTAAATAGGATTATTTATCACACGAATAAATAAATGTGGATACAAAATGTATCTACGTGTACTACAATGAGACGTCATTTATTATAAAACTGCCATAAAACTCACCAAGAAACTTTAATTTTGATATAAACCTACTTAATCAGATTCTTATCACCTCAATACTTAACATAAATATAAACTATTTACTTTAACATATTTCTGCACTGAATTTTTAAGAGAACACTTTACACTAGAGAAGTAGATACATACTGGAAACCTATAATAACAGTAAAATCAATAATTTAAATATTCTATTCCAATGGCTTTCGTTTTGCTGGCGAATAGGATGCGCGATCGCGATGACAAAATGCCAAGAGTGCTGCAAGTGACAGCGTTGTGACAGCGTCAGCCCGACATCGACAGCACACAGGCCCAGGCCATACCTCTATGCACAGGCCGAGGCCACAAGTCTCAACCACAGATTACTCCGCAAGTAAGATAAATATAGTTCTGCCTTAAGCATAAATAAACCCTATATTAATAAACGGAGTGGATTACATCCGAATTCGTTTTGTTCCAACTAGAACGCGGGAGCATGGTTATAGGTCCCTGTTCCAAGTACCTACCCGAAAACAATGTAGTTATTGCTTCATGTGCCCGAATTTAAGTAATGTCTTTCGTGCACTCGAATACGGGCTAACAACCAAATGTAATTGCGCCATTATTTATGTAGTTGATGCAACTGCGGTCTACAAAAAGTGTAAGATATATTTTTTAATAAATATAAAAACCGATCTCAACGTATCTTTGAAGTATATGGACTTTGATTACACTACTTTCATTGAGATAGCAATAAAATGAATAAGAATAGAGTTGCGGAGATATAGACTTTACTACAAGTGGAAGTGTCCCTCTAATAGAAAGATAAAGAAGATGAGAAACCGCTAGCTTTCTCTCTCTAATCGCGCATGCGCATTGGCAACCGTAAGCATCTTACTATTGCGATATGATGCCATTGGATGCCATGCGTCACAAGATTGCATCCATGGCATTTAGTTTTTACGGTTTCGATACTAATGTCAGGGTTCTCTAAACCTAAACTTAAATTTGACAACAGTATATCCTTGTAATTCTATATACAGAATGAGAAGGAGAGACTGATGTTCAATTTAGTTTTAAGTTAGGAGAATCATGCAAAAATCTACACTAATAACCAAATAATTGCATGGCTTTGTCTTTGCCTTTCCCAAATAAGGAAGAGTAAAACAAAAAATATGACAATGACATATATGATGGGTTTATCTTATCTCTGGTAAGGTGGTTTATGAAGTGAAACAAAGAAAACTCGCTCTATCTCGTTTTTACAACAGTCATTGGAATGATAATAAAAGGGACCACTGCGAGGCTTCGAGCATCTTGAAAATGACGGAAAGAAAGAATGATCGCGAAAAATCACTTTTCGTATCGGGCATTGTTTTAAATAAATGTAAACATTTTATTTAGATCTTAAAAAGCGTGGTATTTAAGATCTAATACGATGGATAGCATCGAAACTGTGATCAAAATGGATATTCTTAGTTTACCAGTTGTGGTATTAGAAAATATCTTTTCGCATCTAAGTTATGATGAGATCGCCAAGAACAGAATAGTGAGTATAATTGGTATGATGTAATTAAAGTAGGTACATAATAAACATATTTATAAATGCAGTAGATAAGCTTACAATACATGTATGTTTTACGTTTGTGATTCAATAGTAAATAAATTATGAACACTGTGTTCTAGTACTTGGTCTTACTATAATGAACTCACGCTTCCAAAAGTCGCACTTATTTTCTATTTCTCTCTATGCTCATCTATCTTTAAGATTCACTGAAAATTGTGTGATTAAAAATTCAACCCCATCATTGCTGGGGCATTCTGTTCATTCTTCTTTCCTTGTTTATTCTCTCTTGGTACTTATTTATTTTTTTATATCTTCCCATAATATTTCGAATAATAGTATAAATATTACTTTATTATACCCTTTAAAATCAACCCACAAGCCTATCACCATTGGCTTAACTATATCCTAGGGGACCAGGGATTTTTCCTAGTTACAGTTGAACTTTCATTCACTATGAAATTAAACACACCATAAAACTCAAATTCTAGGCTGGACAGAGAGATTTCTAGGGAGGACATTGCTCCTCCCTGCACTCTCTCCGAGCTACACCTGAGTCTATTACAGACAAACCCTAGACAAGATATGCTGGGCACATACACTGGTCATGTGGAGCCATCACAATTGAAAATCAAATTGGAAATTATGAATACATACTTAATTAAATTTCCTAAACTAGTACAAGGCAATTTGAGTTTTACCAATGTTTAATATATTGGTAAAACTCAAATTGCCTTGTTTATACATCATATTCAATAATTGAACATGACTAATTTTATTATTATAATTATATTTATATGCAAATGAGTATCATTACTAGGTCAGCAAATCAACTATAAATGAACTTTGTCATTAATATACTTTTTAAATCATCAAAATCGGTTCATTTGTTGCAATTTTATAACTAATTTTATGGTAGCCAATATTCACCAGCAGCCAAAACGTGTGTCGTCACAGATCTCAATCTTGGTTCTCTCCGGTTGAACTTTTGTAATATCTCTAACCACGCTAGAGCTCAGTGACATCACAGTCACATGTGGCCAGCCAAAAATTTGTTTAGTAATTTAGTCATAGCTTTGTCAATATTTGTTGTAGTAAAAAAAATACCCATTGTATTTTATGGAATCCTTAGCTCTATAAATCTGTATTCTCAACTAAAATTGTTACGGATCCTCATTGGTAAATAGAATAATGACACTTGCTTTGTACTAGGTACAATAACCATTTAGCTCATTAAATGTAGATATTAGAAGTAGCCAATTGTTCAAATTAAAACTCTTTGTCTTTATTTAAGGTCTTATAACACACTTATTAAAGCAATTGTTAAAAGGCTAGCAAAATCCCAAATTTACAGCTAATGATGGGTACAAGAGTATGGCAAAACTAATTTATTTTATTGAGATTATCTCTTATATACCACTTCCCTTTTAAATATTCTTCATTTCTGGGATGTAGTATTGCATTGTTTAACAAAGTTCCCCAAGATCTGATTGAGCTTCCACTAACCAAATTTAAATCTCGGATCAAGAATACTCTTATGAAAAAGGGCTATTATAAAGTTAATTATTATCTATCTTGAGCTCGATGGCGCAAGTGGCTCGCGTGTTCTGCTGCGATCGTTGAATTTAAGCAACTTTCGCAGTGGTCGGTCATTGGATGGGTGACCGAAAATTTACTATCTCGAGCTCCTCCGTGCTTCGGAAGGCACGTTAAGCCGTTGGTCCCGGCTGCATCTGCAGTCGTTAGCACCCACCAACCCGCACTGGGCCCGCGTGGTGGGTCATGGCCCAATCTCCCTATTCCATCCATAGGGAAGGCCTGTGCCCCAGCAGTGGGGACAATTAATAGGCTGATGATGATGATGATGATGATATTATCTATATGATCGTAATGCATTTTGTGTGTGTTTTTTCAACACCAATTTATATAGAAAATCTTATTTATGAAAAGTTCTAAATTTTTAAATAGAATCCCTCATAACTTAAAGTTTATGTTAATAATGGGTATTATTTATACTTTAATATAAGCATATAAACTTAAGAGAACTGCATAATACTACAACACTAAAATGTATTATGAAGTACTTACTCCTCAAATATCTCAACAAAATTGCTTTGCTTCTTTTTCAGGTGTCCAAAGCTTTTAACGACATATGCATGCGTCTGTTGAATCGTGGTTTCCTGATGATAGAGCGCCGACATGCTTTAGCTTTGAAGACAGTGAAGGCTCAATTGCCTCGGAGGGAGTCTGAACGAAGGTATGAGAATTATATTTAAAAAAAAATGTAATTGTATACAGTATTGTAAATCCTCGAAAAGAGGCTGGTTAAGATGACTGAATTTCTTGCGCTGCTCCTTCTCAGCATTGGCCCATTTATCGTCCCGAGGCATTGGTAGGGATAAAGTTATACTGGGACATGTGAAAGTGCTTATTATAAGCCTATTTGCAAAAAATAAATGACGTTGACTTTTTTAAATGTATGATTTTTATAAGATTGTTGATTCCAGATATCATCCACTGTCGAGACACAGTGACATACTGACATCGCTAGAGACCCGCATATCGATGCTCAACATGACCTACACTAAGTTCATCGACAATGGTATATGTTGCTTCATACCGGGGAAGGTTGGTGCAGTTTGTTATATTATATATTTTATTTTGATTGAATCAGTTAAATATATTTCATAAGTACTATTCCTTTAAAGTTAAATTACGTTTATTGTAAATCTAATCAATCACTCATAATAAATTCAAATTGTACAAAAATATGTTATTATAAAAAAAATTAGTAAAAGCTAAAATATTACGATAAACAATTGTAAAGTTAAATCAAACATAACATAAGCTCGTTAGCGCGTTAAGAGGTAAGCAAATTTCGAAATCCCCAGGTTGGTGACCAAAAATGTATTTTTATTATCTCGCCTCTATGCTTCAGTAGGCACTTTAAGCCGTTGGTCCTGGCTGCAACAGCAGTCAAAACATGGCTTAATCTTCGTATAAGGCTAAACTGTACTTTTAAAGCCCAGGAGTTAGCACTTCACACTAGGTTAGGTTCAGAAATCAATATATCTTTATTCAAATATATATTACAACTCTTTTGAATCATCCAAAATTTTTTTCCTTACCACTCGTTATGGACATATTTTTTAGATGCGGAGAAAAACGAGCGAAGAAAACTCCACAACTCTGTAAGTCTAATGTAACAACATTTACAAATCATTATGTTGTTACAACGACAATATAATTATGGAACTAAATGAATATTGGAACAGTTCAAACCCAGGCATTTCTGTCTGTAATATGATAAAATCCCTCAAAGGGGATCGCGTGGTTCCGCACTTAACGGCGTAGAGGGTATTCAGGGGTTTTCAGCGGATATATACCTTAAGCGCTCGTAAGCCGCTCGGACTACTTAACAGGGAAGGCAGTCAAGGTTTTTTCCATACAAACGTTCTCGACTGATTCCTCCTTGATTTTCATACACAAAATATAATTTTACTCATTCTATGCTCCTATGCCTTCATTTTTTTGATAACTTGTGTTTCAAAAAAACTAGAAGCCCTCGAAGCCAAAAAAACACATTTTTATCACCACTAGAAACGTCTAGTGTGAAGATTTAATAAACATTTAAAAAAAAGGAAAACAAAGAGGCATAGTATAACTACTTATTAATATCTAAAGAAAAGTTTACTAGAAAAACAATCACGCGGACCAGGCAGCAGACGGGATTCGAACCCGCACCCTTTGCTATCCAGGCAAATGCACTAACCATTATCTATCTGCTGCCTGGTCTGCGTGGATTTTTTTCTAGTAAACTTTTCTTTTGATTTAAACATGTAGTAGTTAAATGCTTAAAACGTAAAAATATAACTACTTATTAATATTAAAAAAAAAATGTAAATAAATCGTCGAGACACAAATCGCGAATTTTACAATATTTATACGCAACTAGCGGCCCGCCCTCGCTTCGCTTCGGTGTAGAGCTGAAGTGTAGACTACAGTTTTTGTTCTCAGGCTTGTATTATACACAATGACATTCATCAAGATTCTTCTTATACCTGCATGCAAAGTCTCAGCCCGATCGGTTTAAAATTGAGAAAGTTTCATACAAACTTTCATTCCCTATTTTATCCCCTTGGGGGTAGAATTGATCAAAATCCTTTCTTAGTGGATGCCTACGTCATAACATCTACCTGCATGCCAAATTTCAGCCCGATCCGTCCAGTGGTTTGGGCTGTGCGTTGATAGATCACTATGTCGGTCAGTCACCTTTGAGTTTTATATATATAGATTTTCAGCGTTAGCTACTGTATCACACGGTATGCGTGACAGCAATAGTTTTTTCAAACATCTATTTTTCAAATGTCTCTCAGCTCGCGTCCACTCTTAAGGCTTTTCCGTTTCGTACCCTTGAGACTTGCGATAGGTTAGGCGTGAGGTCCGTTCGTTGATATGCATCTTAAAGGGCGCCAACGTCTGTAAATACAGGTTTTGCCTGCGTAAAAAAAAAGGTTAGTGTTGTGACCACCTGATAAAAACTTAGTTAATATAGACCTTTTATGACAAAAAATTGTATAGTGACAACTGCTCGGCCTAGCAAGTACAGTTTTACCGACCTGTGCCCCAGCAGTGGTGATGATGTAGTGAACTCACCCCAGCAAATATAGTTGCTAATCTTTCTTCTTAAATATATATAATTTACGCGTCACGTTGTTGATTTAATCAAATTTGCACCCCGTGTGCAGTTTGATCCAACTTGAAAGATAGGATATCTATTGTTTCAGGTGATAGATGAAATGCGTCGTGTTCTATCCATAGTGGAAACTTCAAAGACCCCTCCCAGGGCTCATGAAGTACTCCAAGAGTTGAGGGATATATCCAGCATGGCTATAGAGCATTTTGATGACAAAATATCCCCGGCGTTTAGAAAGAAACTGCAAGAAGGCGTGGTACAGCCACCTCCTAGACCGGCGCATGGTAAGTGGTTTTGGCAAAATATCATGTTTTAAACATAATCGTCTCCTTTTCAAGCGGTACCCACATTAAAAATAATTAAGGGCTTTGGGCAAGCATTCAAGTAAACCATACCGTTTACGATCTAGAGACCCGTCGCGTATGGACAATTGGACAGGCAGACAAACGGAAAGACGACAAATTGACAGCAATAGGGTTCCGTTTTTCCCTTTGGGTACGGAACCCTGTAAGTTGCATTAAAAATTAAAAGTTAAATAAAATAACTAACCAATGTATAGTTATATTTTTTTAAGCATGTAACTGCTCGATGTTTTAATCTAAAGAAAATATTACTAGAAAAAAATCCACGCGGACCAGGCAGCAGACGGGACTCGAACCCGTACCTTCCGCTATCCGGGCGGACGCACTAACCAATTGTGCTGCCGAGACCGAGACTTTAATGGCCGTGTCGTATAAAATATTATGTTATTATAGCATTCAATTAAACTGCAAGAAAGAAAATTTTACATAAAAAAAAATATAGTTTAATTTCTAAAATATAATAATAATATGATATAATAAGTCAGTCAAACATTCCAATAATAAAATGGTATTTAAGCATTTAAATGTTAAGGTTTTTCAGGCTTCCTTAATTAACAAAGACCTTTTAAAGTTGTCGCCATGTCTGCCTGTCTGTATTTTAAGAAAGCTGTAATTTTGCATATATGTACGTACGAGTACATATAAATCAGACGGACATGGTGGTAAAATAAAAATATTTAAATTACATATTAAAGGGTATCGCCGCTACATGTAAATAAGAAATGTAATGAAATTGTACTTATTCAAATTGACTTATTGAAAGTTCTTTTAAATCGTCCAATATTTTTTCCTACCACCCGACACCGATTCAGGACATCTTTTAATTGATGAGTAGAATGGGCGCAAGAAACTCATCAGCATTTAACAGAAATAGCAACATTTAACAAAAAAAATCTGTACTAATGCAACGGCCACTCCTATTTTGATTGCTGCGTCATACAGTATAAATACAAACAGTGTTCATATTAGGTATAATATCTCAATAGAATTTTAGTTAAAACGTACAAAGAAATTTGGTGACTCATTTATTTGTCGCACTATCCGTAAATGGAATGCTCTGCACGCTCACATGTTCCCTCCCTCTTACAACCTGGGAGCCTATAAAAGATGCGTGAAGAAGCAACATGCAGGCCGGCAGGGTGAGGATGGCTGGTGTGGCAGGTAGAACTGCTGTACCAGCTATCTTCGCGTCTGGACTTCACCGTCACTTAACATCAGGTGGGGTGAAGTCATTTGTCGGACTTATCTATATAAAAAAACGCACTTAATGACGCCACGTCACGGCCTAATAGGGGTGACGACGGGGTAAAGTAAACGATATTCTATTTAGTCCGTCAGTTAGATGATCAAAAAATAATGGACACGTATTTTTTCTTTGGGCAATTAACCAAAAAATGACAAAGAGGCGCGTCAAAGTTTGGGAGTAGGGGCTCGTGACGTCACTTTTAAGCAAAAACTGTACCAAAACGTGACGTCATGCGACTTTTCAAATCAATATATCTCTGCAATTTATTATTGTGTGAAAAAAGAAAAATACCTATCCAATACTTTTTGATATTCTACCCGATAAACGGAGAAAAAGAAAATAGTCTTCCTATTGAAGAGGCTCGGTTATTTTACTGTGGTCTTCTGTTAGGTGGATAGGTTTATCCTAAATAATTTTTTACGTATAAATCTTGTCTCAAATCTACACAATTCCCGTATGATAATTTAAAACAGATTCCTTCGCCTTGTGCTATTTACATTAGACTTAGAATCACGATCGCCGATAGATGGCGCTGACTGTATAATTTCCATATTAGCATTAACGAGCTGTATTCTGTATGCGTATAAAAGGAGTTAAATTTTATCAATTGCGTCAGTACTTCAGTATATTTTAGTAGGATGTTTTGAATATTTTGTGCCAAAATAGGCAGAAGATATTTTTTTTGTGTAGTGTTAAAGTTTATGCAGTTTAGTCATGAGTTGTCAAGTATCTGTGTGTGTGCCCCAGCGAAGTAAAGGTTAGTCAGATTTTTCTACTTAAGCTCTATAAATAATAAAAATATCTAGTAATATTATTGAATTTGGCATTTTGTCCCTTTTGCTTTGATTTAAAAATTACTACAAATTCAATAGGGGAAAATGGAATAATTTGTCATCCATGTTGTGCAATTGTAGGCATGACGAATTTGCACTGAAAGATCAGGGTTTCATCATTAGTTTCCGGAATGGCCACTATACAACATATTGTAAAATTCCTTCGTTTTTTCCAATCTATTATGACACTTATATCAAGGAAGATAAAGCTCAATGTAAATAGGAGAACTTTGCTTGTTATGATTTAAAATTCTGTGAAAAAACGGAGGAATTTTACGTTTATGTTGTCTGTATGGTTGTGATATAATATAACACTTTTGTACTTAATATTGTTCGATAATGTATTAAAAAAATTACGCCAATAAATACTTATGAGCCCTTTCACATTTTTTGCAAAAATGTTTCGTAATTTTGAGCGCCTCTTTTACCCCCTTAGAAAAGATTTTGACTATTTCCAATAGAAGTAAACAGTAGATTTATTCTTCCTATTGTAAGTTAATGTAGAATATTTGCAAATACTATTTTCCTTTTTTTGTACTGATCGTTCTATTGCAGCTAGTTTACGGAAAAAAAACGATAATATGCATAACTTCAAACGCCTCAATCTCTCAATAATGTTGAATAAATTAGATCAAATTAATTACTACGACATCAGAAATATGTTTTTGTTGTAACATATTGCATTAGAATTATGATTTTCCATCTCATTAATTATCAAAAAAAAACATCTAACCTCCGTGAGTTTTCCCAAAAAATAATGCAGGATTATCTCGTATTTTGATATTGAATTAAATAGAATTACTATCAAAAATTTTCATAAAACTAATCTACCATCATTAAACTACTGAAATATGTATATATTTTTATAATTAGTTCATTAATAATTATGTTATAAGACTCACCCGTAAAATGCAATACCTATATACTAGTGCTAATCTACTACTACGCGCCGATCAGTACGGCGCCAGCGCAATTTTGTAAAAGGGCTCTTAAGAGAGGTATTTTTTTCTAAAATTTTAGCGCCTGTCTGGGGAAGTAATTTCCACCTTACAGAAGACCACAGTAAAATAACACTACCCTTTGGTGGTGTTGTGTTTGTATTGGTAAGGTATTACGGGGTAGGGGATTGGGTCAAGGTAGGCAACAGTGAGAGTGGTATTTTTTGAATGGCAAGCTGAAATCTGTAGTAGGCTATGGTTGGCCGCTTACTATCAGTTGGAACATATGTTTGTTTGTCACCTTTTCAATAAAAAAAGGCTTTTGAGTATTATTGAAACCAGTTCTTTATTTATTTATGCAAGTATGATCTATATATATATATATATATATATATATATATTTAAAGCATGTTACTGCCAATTGTTTAAAACTAAAGAAAATTTTGCTAGAATATATCCACGCGTACCAGGCAGCAGACGGGACTTTGAACCCGCACCCTTCGCTATCTGGGCGAATACACTGACAATTATGCTACCGCGGCCCTGATGGCCGTGTCGAATTCTCTCTAGACTTTCTTAAGCTGCAAGGCAGCGCCATCTCTTCGCATTGTAGGTATCTATATGATCTATTCGAGGGAATCGTAGCTAATAACTCTCTGTTTCTTCCTTATTATGTTATTCATAAATTCACTTTTAGACGTTCAATTTATAAATATATTATAAATTGAACAGTTATATAAAAAATATTGAAATGCAAAAAAATATGCACGAAAGACTTATTTAAAGTAGACATTGCTGGGTGCGAAAATGACCTTTGTCGCCTTAGGTGTAAGTCTGTTAATTGTTTGCATACCTCGAATTCGAGGTTGAACTTGCCAATTCAAATATTTCAGTACATTGAAATTCAGATAAGGTAATTTATATGAATCAACCTATATTTTTTTATTTAGATGAGTCCTTAAAATTTAGTATTGATCAAAAATACACATCTATATAAAATAATTAATAATGTATATAATAAATTTTCTTTTCATTTAAAAACAGCCTTTATTTATGCAAAGATGAAGATGATGTCTGTGCTTAGTGGCTCTGCACTTCCTTAATATTGGGTGGTGGATCATGGCCCATTCGATCTCCCTGTTCTATCCACAGCGAAGACCTGTGCCCCAGCAGTGGGGACATTAATAGGCTTAATGATGATAAAGATGCAGTATAATTATCATATAATTAGGCGTTTCAGGTGTGTTGGCCCCAATCGCGATTCGTCAAGAGATGCTTCTGCTCAGAAGACGGTTGCTGCTCAACACAAAGCTGTCCTTATTCCTCACCGCTCAACAGAAGAAGTTCCACAAATGGGTCTGTTTACGTGTTCATATACTACTAGAGATCTGCCCCGGATTTATTTATTTAAACTTTTGCCATACATATGCAAACGGCGGACTTAATGCCATAGGCATTCTCTACCATTCAACCTGAACGAGTGTTCGAGACAAATGGTATTTATGGATTTGTTTATTTTTCATTTTTGTGTGTTTACGAACTCAAAAATACAGCCAAGTATAAGATTTTATGTTAAACCAATATGCTAAAATTGTAGTTGGTGTCTAGTATTTTTTTTCAATTTTAGACATTTCTAATTCATCCATTTATTCATCATCATCATCAACAGCCTATCATAGTCCACTGCTGGACATAGGCCTCTCCAAATGCACGCCACTCAGATCGATCTTGGGCTACTCGCATCCAGCTCCTGCCAGCCACCTTGCGCAAATCGTCACTCCATCGTGCCTGAGGACGTCCTACACTACGTTTGCCTAGACGCGGTCTCCACTCCAGAACTCGTCTACCCCAACGGTTATCGGTTCTTCGGCAAATATGGCCAGCCCACTGCCACTTCAACTTGCTAATCCGGTGGGCTATGTCGATAACTCTGGTTCTCTGTCGGATTACCTCATTTCTGATGCGATCTTTCAGAGAAACGCCGAGCATAGCCCTTTCCATAGCGCGTTGAGCGACTTTGAACCTGTGGATCAGCCGTGCCGTCAGTGTCCACGTCTCGGCTCCGTATGTCATCACAGGTAGGACGCACTGATTGAAGACTTTCGTCTTTAGGCACTGTGGGATCGACGATGTCAGGACTTGACGTAGCTTCCCAAACGCTGCCCAACCTAGCTGAACTCTTCTATTCACCTCGTCCTCAAAGTTGTTTCTACCTAACTGCAATGTCTGCCCGAGGTATACATATTTTTGAACAACTTCGAGAACGGCACCGTGTATTGCAATCGGTTCCGGTAGAACATGTTCATTGAACATGACCTTGGTTTTATCCAAGTTCATCCGTAGGCCTATGCGTATAGAAGAGTCAGCCAGGTCATTCAGCATCTGTTGTAGGTCCTGCAGGGTTTCTGCCATGATGACGATGTCGTCTGCAAATCGCAAGTGAGAGATGCGTTCGCCATTTATGTTGATGCCATGTCGTTTCCAGTTCAGCGTCTTGAACATATCCTCCATTGCATTAGTGAACAATTTCGGGGAAATAACGTCCCCTTGTCTCACTCCACGATGCAACGGTATGGGACTTGTTTGCTGATTCTGTACTTGGACAGACATGGTGGCGGCTTCGTAGAGACATCTTATCACTTGGATGTATCGCCAGTCGACTTGGCAACGCTGCAGGGACTCCAGGACAGACCAGATTTCAATCGAGTCAAAGGCCTTCTCATAGTCCACAAATGCTAGGCACAGGGGCTGATTGTACTCCTCAGTCTTCTGTATAATCTGCCGCACTGTGTGGATGTGGTCTATGGTGCCGTATCCGCTCCGAAACCCAGCCTGTTCCGGTGGTTGGAAGTCATCAAATCTTTGCGCAAGACGGTTCGCGATCACTCTTGAGAACAGCTTATAGACGTGGCTTAGAAGGGATATGGGTCGATAGTTCTTAAGTAGGGTCTTGTCCCCCTTTTTAAAGAACAAGACGACCACACTCCTACTCCACGCCTCAGGAGTTCTCCCTTCGAACAAGACAGTGTTAAAAAGCTTTTGGAGCTCCCTCAGTACGGGTTTACCTCCAGCCTTCAAGAGTTCTGTTGTAACACCATCCTCTCCAGGGGCTTTTCCATTTTTAAGCTGTCCAAGAGCAATCTCGATTTCGCCAATACTGACTTCTGGCAGGTCTTCGGTGAAGTGGCGTGTTAATGTGGCTCTAGAATCCTCATTTCCGGGATCAGGTCGAGATGCATGTGATGCGTATAACTGGCTGTAGAAGTCTTCCACTTCCGAAAGGACTGCCGGCTTTGAAGCAACAACTTCTCCACTTGCTGTGGTCAACTTCGTCAGATGGCTTCTTCCAAGAGATTGTACGAACACTTTGGACCCTCGATTCTGCTCGATCGCTCTCTCGATCGAGAGAGTATTGGAGCATCGGAGGTCGTGTCGTACGTGCTTACTGATCTCTTGGTTTAGAGTCCGCTTTGCCGACGAAGTAACGGGTGGGTTTTCACGTCGTTCCTTCATTAGCCCTGAAGTCTCTTCCGAAAGCTTTGACTTCCTGCCCTTACGCTGCGTTGCACATAGTTTCGTACCCTCTTCCCTGAGAATTCGAACCACATTTTCGAGGTTTTGGTTTACGTCTGATGTGGTTTCCACGGCAGCAAATCGGTTCTCCAGATTTGACTGGAACGTTTCAGATCCTGTTATAGATTGGAGCAAAGTAGGTTGGAGCCTGGATTTCATTAAACGGACGCGCTTGGCCTTAAAGTTGATATTCAGAGAGCCCCGGACGAGTCGGTGATCACTACCGGTATTGAACCTGTTGATCACGGAGACGTCTCTGAATATGTACCTCTAGTCCGTCATGATGTCGGGGCTCTGCCATGTCCACTTCCTTTGGGGCTGTTTCTTGAAAAAAGAGTTCATCAAGAAGAGCCCCTGCTGTTCGAGGAAGTTGACGAGCATTTGCCCCCTATGATTTCTGCTTCCAAATCCATGGGATCCTACTACCGATTCGCTGCAATTCTGTACTCCCACTTTAGCGTTGAAGTCCCCCATAACAACGTTGTAGTGGGTCTTAGTAGTGGAGTGGAGGGCCCTCGATATCTCATCGAACATATCCTCCACTTCGTCGTCCGAGTGTGTCGAGGTCGGTGCGTACACTTGCACCACCTTGAGGCTATACCTCTCGGTGAGCTTTATAATAAGGTACACTACCCTGTTCGACACGCTGGACATTTCCACAACGTTATCGGCAAGGGACTTATTTACCAAAAACCCAACGCCACCTTGGGACTGTTGGTCTCCCCCGCGGAAGTACATTAGGTGGCCCGATTCGAGGCTTATGGTGTCCTCCCCCTCTCTTCGGACTTCACTTAACCCTAAAATGTGCCACCTAATCTTTCCAAGTTCCACCTCGAGTTGCGCCAGATGCGAGTCAAGCCGTAGCGTGCGTCCGTTGTACGTCGCCAGGGTCAGTCTATTGTGGTGGCCTCCCGTAGCCCGGAGATTCTTGGCACCCCCCGCCCCACCGTTACCGTGGTCGCCACCGTGACCAGGAATAGCGGGGCTGCCGGGAACTGGGGGCCGTGGCTTGAGTTTCTTGTGCATGAAGGTTTTGCCCATAATCGCCACGCTGGGCAGGCGGGTTGGCGATCGCAGAGCGTAGGTTTATTTACTGATGACGCTGCTGCCCGTCACCAGTGACATTTTCTTCCCCTACGTCATTGGATGGTTATACCGCCATCGGTCGGTTTGCCAGAGCCTCGTCTGTTGGTCAACAGGGTGCACCACGTGAAGGTGAGGTTGGCTTGGGTTCTTGCAGGTGTATTTAGAACCCCTTACACCCCACCCTTTGGTTGTTTATGGTTTTAATCTCCAAAGCCCAACTTCAAGTTTATCAACATTTATATCAGATACTTTTCAATTTGAAAAATGTGTATTTACGTAATTGGAATTCTGATACAAAGAAAAACAACAAACCTTTTATAACTTTCAAAATTTAAAATGGAAAGTGCGGTGATAGCATTTGATACTAGACTGTTTGGTAATGAATTGCCTCCGATTTCCATTACTCAATAATGAAAGTTAATTTATATTGGTGCCATAGTGTTGGGTATGATTTTGTCCAAATACCTATTTTTTTCAGATGATGGACTATAAGAAAGTGGCTTGGCGACAACGCAAGACCATACGTAGCCTCTTGAGAAGGCAGAAGGAACAAGACACTACCATAGGTGAGGCCATATACTATTTATTTTTATTTTTCTAGTGATATAGTGATAGCCTTATATAAGTAACTAAAGATTTTATTTTAGAAAAAATCCACTTGGTCGAAGTATCAGGCAGGATTTTTGGTGTAAACAATTTTTTTGTGTTTGTCAGCCTTTTTAACAATATGAACGGTTGGAGCCTTTATTTAAGCAAAGATGAGTCTGTGCTTAGTGGCTCTGCACTTCCTTAACATTGGGTGGTGGATCATGGTGACAAACTGTTCAAAAACCCATTATCCAAGGACTCTAATCAATGCTTGTATTTGTAAAGAAAAGTTTCTTGTCTAATACCTTTGACTGATTGAATTATTTCTAGGAAAAAATATTGTTTAGGGTTAAGCTGATCATAAATCTCGCTATAAAGGAGCTCGATAGCACAGGTGGTTAGCGCGTTCGGCTGCGATCGTTGAAGTTCAGAAACTTTCGCAGTGGTCGGTCATTGGATGGGTGACCAAAAATCTTCTATATCGAGTTCATCCGTGCTTCGGAAGGCACGTTAAGCCGTTGGTCCCGGCTGCATCTGCAGTCGTTAGCACCCGCCTATCCGCACTGGGCTCGCGTGATTGGGTCATGCATGGCCCAATCTCCTTATTCCATCGGGATAGGGAAGGCCTGTGCCCCTGCAGTGGGGACATTAATAGGTTGACGATGATCATAAATCATACTTAAAAATAAAAATTAATAAACTAAATTCCTTCTATTTTTTCAGCGGATTTGAAGAAACGTATTGAAGAGTGTGACATTAAGTACAGCGAGTTGACTCATACAAATCAAGCTGTAGGCGGCAAAGCTATAACGAGTATGTATCAATGTATTGTTACGTGTCGGGATGGGGTACGAAATTATATGCTAGTTCACGCTTGACAGTTCTTTATTCAACACGCAGTTCACACAGTTCTTTCTTAAACACACAACACTACACTAATGTACACTACAAAAGCTTAGATTGAAACAAAACGGAAAGAAACGGCACTCGCGGCTCAAAAGTGATCCGCTGAAATTGTGGTGCATGACCATAATTCGCTTTAGTCACAATTGGACATTCAAACACGCTGCATGTGCACTGAATATAACAATATTGTGTATATTCTGTGTTATAAAAATAAAATAATGCATTCGATGCTTTGATAAATAACACAAATATTTCAAGATCAAATTTCACGGCAACACTTCATTTAAAAAACTATGAAACCTTTTTTTTCTCAAAAATCATGGTTTGTCATGCATGCTATTTACTTTTTCGCCATTTGTTATCAAGAAAAGGACAACAATACAGCTCAGCCCTTTGTAGAGAGAGAAAAGAAAACGTACTCGCCGAGCCAAGCGACGCGGATTGCCGTTTCGCTCGCGCTGCGATGTACAGTACCCTTAGCACGAACCAATATCGAATTCGTAACGTTTGCGAGTCCGAAATGTCATTGTCAAATATGTACTGATTTTAAGTTCCCGTTACGTACTTACCGTACTTTGTGGCGCTGCTGTTCAAGTTTCCATACAAAATTTGACATTGACATTTCGCACTCGCAAACTATTCGAATTCAATAATGGTTCGTGCTAGGGGAAACTGTTCTGTCTCGCTCGCTCGGATTGAATGTTTATTTACAGAAGTGTGCGTGCGTGAGAGTTGCTTATGTAGTTGAGTTGGAACATATTTTATTTGATGCTAGTATGAGCGTACCGTAAAGGCGGGTTATTTGGAATTTGCGAGAAAATAAGATTTAGACATGAATATTTTTTTATCTGGAAATAGTAGGAAATATATTTCACCACCTGAAAATACAACGACATTTATGTCAATGTCAAATTAAAATTTTGGAGGTTATTGGCGATAAACGTTGAACAGTGTGTTATTCGAAAAATCATAAAATTTTGGTGTATTTCGTGGTTCCAAAACTTTCGTCTGGTACACTACATCTAGAGAGGTATGTAAAGAGTGAAATAGATTCCAAAATAGTGTTTTTCATCTGCATTACAGTGATTGAATTAACTTTTTTCTATCTCTTACGGCCTGCCATGCTTTTCGGTTTTTCATAATGGGGCTTTTTGGTTTCTGTTTTGGGGTTAATTGAAACTTTGTTTTAAATAGCCCCTAAGTCTATCGAACTTTGCTAAGTATTCTTTTCATCGTTTCAAATAGCCCCAATTGCTCATTTAAACTAAATTAAGGGTAAGATGTTTCGCGGCACTATATTTTTGCAAAATATTTTTTTTATACTAAGGAGTACAGATACGCAAGCATGGTCCGAATATACCAAAGAAAGTTATCAAATTCATGGAATTCAATGGAAAAAGTCATTCACCTTAAGCCCGTCACAGACGTAGCTATAATATTATATATTAAAAAGGTCTTAAAATGGCCTAAGGTCTTAAAATGTCTATCTCTTAGGGATAACCCACAATAACCATTTTTTATCCTTTACTTTTACAAAAAATAATGGCTTATTTACGCAGCGACTTTAAGCAATACAGCATTCATCCTTATCCAATTAAGTACCTTAAATACATTGTGCATTTGATATAGATCAATATGTCCCTGTTAAGCATGTTATTTGAATAAAGATTTTCGAAGTTATTACGGATTTAAAATGCAGGGACATACCGGGTCGGGCGGTACTGGCCGGGGGGGCCGGCGGCGGTGCGTGCCTATAGTTATTAGGTATTTAAAGAAAGTCATTGTGTATAATACAAGCCTGTGAACAAACACTATAGTCTACACTATACAGCTCTACACCGAAGCGAAGCGAGGACGGGCCACCAATGTCTCAATCCAAGTAATAATTGCACTGCCAAATTTCATCTAAATCCATTTAGGGCCCGTTGTATGATACATAGAGAAATGTGACTAGTTAAAATTTTATTAGAGTAAAAATAACCATTTGTCAAAATTTGACACACTAGCTATGTATTTAACGTGACATTAATTATAGTCAAATTTAACTATTGATGAAACAACTCGACCTACAAGTCGTTTTTGCGTGACTGATTGACAAATATGAAAACATGCAAACTTTGAAATAGTACTAATATTATAAGTGTGAAAGTTTCGTATGTTTGTTACGCAATCACACGAAAACGGCTCAACGTATTTGGATGAAATATGGTGTACTACTTTCATTGTAGTATATCAACTCAGAAGTCACTAGTGGAACAATAATTTGCATTATAGCCGTACTAGTTCGCAACGATCGCAGTGGTCGGTCATTGGATGGGTGACCAAAAATCTTCTATCTCGAGTTCCTCCGTACTTCGGAAGGCACGTTAAGCCGTTGGTCCCAGCTGCATCTGTAGTCGTTAGCACCCGCCAATCCGCACTGGGCCCGCGTGATGGGTCATGGCCCAATCTCCCTATTCCATCCATAGGGACGGCCTGTGCCCAAACAGTGGAGATATTAATAGGCTGATGATGAATATTGTCTATAGGCCCTCCTGGAGAGACATCGACTCAATCTCAACCACTACGCCACTTCGGCAGTCAAATCAAACTGGATTTATCTGTTCTACCAATAGGAACGTCAAAACGAACACAGGCCAAAGGTAAGTTAATAAAGTTGTCGGATAAAAATATTTTTAAAGTCAGAAGAAAACGGGTATGAGTTGTTTTACATACATTATTCATGACTGCAACGCCGAAATTTGATAGTTTATGGTTTCTATTTACAAATGTCATTATTAAAATGATAGATGTCTCAGATTGGGAAACTTTAAAGGTTCCGTAGTAATTTTGTTTTAATAATAACTGGACTGCTATTCTATTTTCAGCTTTACGCCGTACGGCTAAAGGCCAAATGGGCCTAAAAGCCCTTTGTTTGTATCGTAATCTACGCATATCTTTAGATATTTCTTTAACCGCATCACAGTGGTGCCACATTCTGGCACGATTCTCTAAATTTCAACTTAAATTTGACAACAGTGTATCCTTGTCATTCTCTATACAGAATGAAAGGAAGAGACTGATGTTAAATTTAGTTTTAAGTTTAGAGAATCACGTTAGAATCGTCACCAGTGTCTAACTATATTTTCTTCTCCACAGTTATGCCAAACATTAAACCGCGCAAACCAGTTATCAAACTGCCAAGTCTATCCGAAGACGATGCAGAACCGCCTCCGAAAATGGCGAAAATGTCCAAAGTGCCAAAGACAGACGATAAACCTTCAACTTCCACGGCAAAAACTAAAGTACACCCCACTATAGCCGAGCTACGAGGCATTGCCAACGAAATTAGGACCTTAACCAATCTAACATTAGAGAATAAACTCAAACGTCCTGCTGGTTTGAATGCTTTGGATCTTTTGGAAGTAGAAGTTAAAAAACAGAAGCTCGATTAGACAAGGTAAGCCAAAAACACTTCGCATTAAGGCTGACAATCGGTTGTAACTTTAGAAGCGGCCACGAATATAAAGGCAACAGTTTATCGTATTTTGAATCGTATATTGAACGCGTAAAGTCGGTTTTCGGTTTTGAAGGTGAAGAAATCTTAGTGGAAAGGATAATGTATAGAACTGGTACACTTTCTATGTGTTTATGTTAGTATAACAAGTTGGGAAAAGTTATATGATTAACAATATAAAAATGTCTTTCAGTTTATAGTTATAAGGTTGAAAATAGATTTGAAGATTTGGTTTTGTGAGTGAAAGAGTAAGAATGAATCTTTTTGTATCCTTTTGAGCATCGGTTGCAAGAAATTTGTTGATGTATCAATTTTATTTATATTTTTTCTATTATAAACACTTATCTGAGATTTGTTATAGTGAAAGTTTTATTGTCATACTATATTGTTGACAATCAATTCGTTACAAAACGCGCGCGTCAGCAAAATTAGTATATTTTTTGTTTTATATGAGAACACTATGTACCTAGTTTCCTACAAATTTTGTTTGAGTGTACAATATTTGGTATACATTTAAGAAGAATTGGAATTTTCTCGAACCTATTAACTTTATTGTAAATAATTTGAAAATCGAGCTCTTTTTCTTTCAATAAACATTAGATTATTTTGAAATAAATAATAAAATCATTTTTGCAACTGATAAGGATGGTATTTCAGCAATAAAAATAGATGTTTAAGAGTTAAAACTGTAGGTTTTAATTTTTTGTCGATAAAACCATATTAATATTTAGAAAAATGAAAAATAAAACAAAAAGGCATTATTATGGTCTATCGTTTACCAAATAGGACTTCATATGATAAATGTTTTACCTTTTTTTTGTTTTTCTGTCTGTGGCAGTTCTTAAGTTCACAGGTAGTGTCAATCTTCTTGATTTAAACCGTAGGCAAATAAACGTGCGCAGTAGACGTTGTTGTATCTAAAATTGCTACTGCGCAGGTTCCATGTCCATGGCCAATGGTAAGAAGTTTATCGAGGTATATAATATGCTGTTAAATCTAAAAACTTAGATAATGAGAAAACTTTAAAAATAAAAAAAGGGACAGTACTAATAGATCGTGACGTAATTGCTATATCTTCACAACTACGAGAGATAGCACGTACTAAATTTTGTTTTAATATATGCCTGATATTGAATTCTGTTTTCACAGAAAATTACCTTATATTGTCTTAAACTTTCATGGACACTACCATTATAGTTTTGTACTTTATGTAATGTTTTATCATCAAAATTTTAAAAAATGTATTAAAATAATGGATATATTATTTGATGTGTATGGTTTCGCTAAGTCTTGTATTCTTTAAGTGAAATAAATACGACAAAAATATACAAAATTCAACCTTACCACAAATATAAAGTTACTGCAAATACTGCAATCTACTTTTATCTATTTTTCTCAACAGAGATATGAAATTATTACCAAGAACATTTAAGAGTTTTTCTTTAGATTTAAACATCTAGCAGTTAAATGCTTAAAAAATAAATAAAATCATAACATTTAAGAGTGTTAGTTATTTGTATTAAATTATTCGCTATCTGTTTCTAATCTTTATGGATGAAAATAGTCCGATCTCGAAATGTTTAGAAAGCGCTGATATTATTAACTTCGATTTTTTAAAATATAAAATATGACGTGTTTATTTCTAAGGAAAAGATATATTATGTATTTAGTAAAACTGAGTGTCCAATATTCAGTGCTTTTTGTACAGTTACTTCAATTTGTTGTGCGTGTTGTTTTTGCCATTACACACATAACTTATTTGATAACGCTCAACATTTTAGTTTTTTTAAAAGTTGCTGTATTTCTATTTAGCAGGTTTCGAATGCCTAAGGATATGAAGTCCCTTTTAAAAATTTTATTTTCGTGAAGTAGGATAAAATCAACAAGAATAGTTAGTAATGGACCTTTAAAGGTGATTAAAACTGGCAACCCTGTGGCGCTATATATCTATTGATTTCAAAAAATAAAAGATTGGGCACTTTTAAAGGAATATGGTGACATATTACGAGTAATAAGAAAAGAAAATATAAATTTATCAAAGTCTTTCATGTTCCGCCTACTATAGCAAGTTTTAAAAAAAAATATTTAGTCTTTTTTTAATTATAGATAGATTAATTTTATCTTAATTCTATTAAAATTCATTATCAGATAAACAAACATCTTTTTGTATAGTATTTACTAAGAATTTGCTTATAGCTGCTTCAGGAAACCCAACAGCTCTTGTAAATAGTAATAAATCGCAAAATTTGCAACACATTTAATCTGACTGCATAGACTTAGTAACCTTTGTCTTCCCTATGGGAAAATATAACAACTAATATAGGTAATTCAAAATACAACTGTAACCATCTTTAACGCCTGTTTTCTTTGAATTTGATTGAAATTTAGTTTTATAATTTTATATAAATGATTACGACTTATTTTAGGCGTTTCCTCTTTGCGTTCTTAAAATCGTTGGTAACAATCTAAAATAATTTTCGTTTAAAATACACTATTTTGTTGAATAAGTTTACTATTTTACTATGCATATTATGTTCACTTTAACTAGAATAATTTATTAACAGATATATTATATTAAGTAGAAATAAAACAACATATATTATTATGTTTAAAAGACAAGACGACATTATTCATAAAAGCTCAGATTGTGAACAGAATTTTATTTGAACACTGTGTATATAATAAAAATATAATGGCATATATTCTGAATATTTTGTTATCATTTGAAAACTGTGCTCTGTTATTTTTTTAACGTTTTGCTCTTCCTAACGTTATGGGACGACCCATTGTCCCTTTATAATTATGCGAGTCCTATTTACATATAGGCGATTTTTTAATATTCATCTAACAGGAATCTAACAAAATTCCCAGATTTTGTTGGCAACTCTAAATGTCAAATTATGGCCATTAAAGTGTATTAGCATATTATTTTTATTAAAAACTGTATAACTACAAAGAAATATACTTGTAAGTCTCTTCTTACTGACTTAGATGATAAAACCCGTTTACTCTGTGCTGTTTATTTGTAGATATTAACAAAAGAAATGTACCGTATGTATAACGTATTAAAATAATTACAGCATTAAATATTAACATGACTGTGTTTTTATTCTTTCCTATTGTATACTTTTTTTTTATAAAAGGCGTAGATTTATAGGTTTTCTCGCACATTAAAAAAAAGGTTCAACGGGTTAGATGCACTGATTTTATTTATTAATTGACGTTTCGCAGCTAGTACAGTCAATCTGGCGAAAAAAATATCGTTTCAGTGAAAAAAAAACCTAAAGGGTAAGTCTTGTTTTTTCTGTTGCCAAGAGACGTCAGTAAGCCACCTTGGCGATGGGCATGTTCAACTCGTAGGCGTTTTTTTAAAAACTCAAAAAAACCGTCAAAAATTTTTTGAAACGCATTTTTCTTGTTTTGTATGCATTTTAGAAACTTTTTTTTTGACCATAATTGTAGAGGGCGTTGAGTGCTACAATTTATGTCATTGTTGCAATCTCGTGCAACAAAAAATGCGCATTGTAGGTGGCGCTAAAGTCTCAAAAAAGTGTTTTTTCACTTTTTCACCCTGAAAATATCATTTTAATGGAAAACTTTACATGGCAAAGTTGTTTCGTACATAATTACCAACAACTTTTGTATATACAATTTTTTTGTATTACTTACCGTTTTCAAGTTATAAATTGCGCAGGTATGGAAAATCCAATAGAGCGGTTTTGGGCAGTTCACGTACACATTTGCAGTGCACATTTCAATGTACGTTTTACTATTTTTTATTTTTTTTCATGATTGAAAAACAAAAAAAAATGAAAAAAAAAATAGTTTTATTTTTATTTTTTTTCATGTTTGAAAAAAAAATAGTAAAAACGTACATTGAAATGTGCACTGCAAATGTGTACTTGAACTTCCCAAAACCGCTCTATTGGATTTTTCATACCTGCGCAATTTATAACTTGAAAACGGTAAGTAATACAAAAAAATTGTTTATACAAAAGTTGTTGGTAATTATGTACGAAACAACTTTGCCATTTAAAATTTTCCATTAAAATGATATTTTCAGGGTGAAAAAGTGAAAAAGCCCTTTTTTTGAGACTTTAGCGCCACCTACAATGCGCATTTTTTGTTGTACGAGATTGCAACAAGGACATAAATTGTAGTACTCAACGCCCTCTACAATTATGGTCAAAAAAAAAGTTTCTAAAATGCATACAAAACAAGAAAAATGCGTTTCAAAAAATTTTTGACGGTTTTTTTGAGCTTTTCAAAAAACGCCTACGAGTTGAACATGCCCATCGCCAAGGTGGCTTACTGACGTCATTTGGCAACAGAAAAAACAATACTTACCCTTTAGGTTTTTTTTTCACCACTCAACCTACAGATTGACTGTACTAAGCCTTTGCAGGAATACGTTGTCAGAACAAGGCTGCGAAACGTCAATAAATAAACAAAATCAGTGCATCTAACCAGTTGAAATTTTTTTCACAAGCATGAACAACTAGCGGAAAGTATTTGTGTCACCGTGTCAAACTAGTTTTTATGGATAAAGCTAGTTTGTTTTTACGTCCGGTAGAGGCGCTGCTTAGTTTCCATGGATACTTTGACACGGCGATACGAATACAGTACCCTTAGCACGAACCAATATCGAATTCGTTACGAAATGTCATTGTTAAATGTGTACTGATTTTTAGTTCTTGTTACGTAGGTACTTTGTAGCGCTGCTGTTCAAGTTTTTATACAAAAGGAGATTGCTCAAATTGGCAAAAATATATTCATTTTAAAAACGACTTTTAATTTTACCGGTTTGAAAAACATACGAAGCATTTTTAATGGCTATAGGTGTAGTAACATACAGCCAAAGACTGATCGAAGTTGTTTATATAACATCAAAACAAATCTATTTAGTAAAGATCAATAAAATAAAACATTTTTTTTAATTACACTGTGGTATTAATCCACAACTATAATATCATTTTCACTACATGAAAATGTGCTAAGACAATTATTATAGATGGTAGGCGACATCTTACATTTTTCG